GCCGCTCCCCAGCCACTCTTCCCCAAGCCTGGAGCGTGGCGTGAGGTGGTTGTGAGCCAAGTGCAGGACCCGGCACTCGGCCTTGCTGAACCGCATACAGTTGGCCTCGGCCCACCGGTCCGGCCTGCCCAGGTCCCTCAGCAGAGCCGTCCTTCCCTCACGCAGACCAACGCTCCCGCCCGACTTGCTGTGGTCTGCAACCTGACTGAGGGTGCGCGGCGTGCCCTCGTCCAGAAGGTCCAGAAAGATCCTGCGGCCCCCTGCGACCACCAGCACACGGGTGCGGAGCTGCAGACCTCGGAGGTGGAGGTGCCTCACCTCGCCGCCAGCCTGAGAAGCTGCCTCTCGAGAGCAGCGCGGCTCTGCGGCCGTGCTGGGCTGCCCGACAAGCTGGCCTCTGCCTCCTGAAGGCTCGCCTAGGTGTCCGAGCTGCCTTGGTGCGCTCCAAACATCATCTCAACGGTGATGTTCCACTTGGAGGTGCTTGTCAGCTGGAACCTGCAGGACTGGGAGGAGGGGGGCAGCACCGTTAGCTGGCAGTGGCACGACTGAGGCAAAAGCAGCCAGGCCGATCTCACCGGGCCCTGGGCCCAGCAGGTGACTTTCTCCATGTCTAAGCAGGAGAGTGTGCAGAGGGTGCGTGGGAGGACCGAGCTCTGATCCCTCCGCAGCTCGTCCTCGGGGTGGTGCAGAAAGCACAGCGCGTCGCCCAGCAGCTGCTCCCTCGAGCACAGGCACTGCTGCTCCACACGGATTCTGGAAGGGGTCGCTGGCAGCTGCCCCGCCGTGTCCAGCTCCAGGCTGAAAGAGTGCCCGGGGGGTGGCCACAGCAACACGAGCAGGGAGTAGGCGATGCTGTTCTCGCCGATGCTCCAGGTTTCGTAGGCGCTGCCCAGTCCAACGGCTGGCTGCATCTCCGGCATGAAAGTGCTCCTGCAAAGCACTTGGCACACCTCAAGGAGCTCACCCACCAGCTCCTTCAGCACCTGGCACGTGTCGGGCAGGCCCTGCTGACGTGCGGAAATAGACTCCACAATCTGATAGATTGTAAAGTAGGTATGTTTATTCAGCGCTGAGGTACACAGGGGATAACTCCTCCTATTGTGTACCCAACGTATGATGCTGTTACCTAAGATTTATAGAGCAAATGATTACATATTCATAATATTTCGCAATACGCCTATACATATTCAACACCTATCCCCGCTTCGTATTATAATTAGCATTTCCATAATCTCCTCCTAGTTGAGTCTGCGCAGTGTCTTCTGGTGGTGGTCGTGGGGGTCTTTGGGGATGAAGTCAAGCTCCTCTTCCTCCTGTCCGCTCTGTGACCCCAGGTTTTGCGCATACTCAGTTTCTTACTGGCTGTTGTCCAAACCGTGGGTCTAGTTCCAACCGGCTTGGTACTGATAAAGCCTAGAGAGCTCACCGTGTTTTATAAACTGTCTGCTCACTAAGCAGACAGTTAACCGTTATCTAAACTATTTCCCTTGAACTATTTTCTTTTGTTATCCCCTTCTTGCTATTATCCCCTTCTTGCTATTCTCATGTTAACCCTTACATCCCCTGTTCCTATCTTGGCCCTGTATCACTGCCTTGGCGATGGGGTGGACACAGCCCGAGGCCTGGCAACACTGCGTGCACCGCTGCGGTCTTCCTCCTCCTCTTTGTCTTCGTCCTCCTCCTTGCTGCTGGAGCAGTCCTCACCACTGCAGCTCTCAGAGACAAGCTTCACTTTCCTGCAGCACCACCAGACCGCAGCGAGCAGGACCAGGACTCCCACAGGAGTCCAAGGTAGGCACCGCTGCCACACAGAAGAGAAGATGTCTTTCCACGCAGGTCTGCTCTCAATCTCCTGCAGCAGCCGAGTCATCTCCTGACGCAGATACTCCTCACGCTGCTGCATCCTCTGGGACGTGGCCACATCTGTATGGTCATCCAGCTTCAGTCCATGCTGGAGCACCAGCAGAGCCAAGACGAGGGCAACTGCTGCAGCCATGGCCTGGAGGAAGCGGAAGAAAAGGGGGCTCAGCAGGGCTGGCTGGGAGGGAGCACGGGCCTGGGGGAGCGGGGCAGGAGCTGCCTGGAGCTGGGGGCCGGTAGGAGACGGGTTGTGGGAGGTAGCGGGGAGCAGGGGCAGGCTTTGTGAGCACTGCACGGGCAGGAGCCATGGGATGTCCCAGGAGAGGGCTCGGGCGCTGGTGTCAACAGGCTTGGGCAGGGGCCGCAGGCCCTGGAGACAGCATGGCAAGGGGCACCAGAGTGGCATCTCCCGAGGCCCCATCCCCGCCACACAACAGCCTCCCGTCGAGCCGCAGGCACCTGGCACGTCCCCAAAGCCTCTCTGGGCTCCCCCCACCCCCGGGAGCTCTGAGCACCGCTGGCCCCAGCCCCGAGGGCAGTACCGTGCCCTGCCCCGAGGGGCTCGGCTCTCCCTCTGGGTTGCAAACCCCCCGGCCATCCGCCCCATCCCCAATCCAGCCCAGCCTTCCCCCTGCGTGCTGCACTCACCGAGCGCCCAAGTCAAAAGGCAGTGGGGCTGCCTGCTGGTGATGCTGTTCACAGTTCCCATTGGGACTTGGCCATTGTGCTGTCACAGCCGCCACAGCATCATCACCCAGACAGGAGGCCCCAGCCTTCGGCCCCCCCACCCGACCCCCCGCACGTCCTGGGCATCACACCTAGGTCCAGCCCAGCCGGCCGGAGCCAGCTCCCGGGGGTTCTCTTGACAAAGCGGGCAGACACCCCCCAAAACCGTAATGGACATGAGAACCGTGGATGCCCCTGGCTTACGTAGGGAGGTGCCACGTTTTCTGGGCCGGGTGGTCTGACTCCGAGTCGCCTTGAAAAGAAGAGCTACGAGCATTGCGGGGAGACCAAACTCCTCCTCCCTCTTCTCCTCTTGGAATCCTTCTTGGACTTAGCCCTGCAAACCCTCACAGCCAAGGAAAAGGCAAATCACGTCCGTGGTGCAAGCGGCAGAGATCCTGTGGCTCCTCGGCCTGCAGCCACCAACTGCTTGGCCCCTGCAAGGGCAGGGGAGGGCCCTGGAGAGGCCACGGCGGGGCCCGTGTCTCTCTGCTCTGATGAGGTTTCCCCTGTTCGGGAGAGTCCTCTGTACTCTGCGCTGGAGCCCTGGGCTGCACATCGTGCCCCCCAGAAGTGTGGCCTGTCCTGCAAGTGGGCTTGCCTTGAGACCCAGGGTGTTGGGTTTGTGTGTGGAGGGGTTTTGGTAGTGGGGAGGGAGCTACAGGGCTGGTTCCTGTGAGAAGCTTCTAGAAGCTCTCCCTGCTCCACGTTGGGCCTGCCGCTGGCCTGTGCTGCAGCAGTCTCTTCCTGAAGGACTGCAGCCCGTGGAAGGGACCCACGCCGGAGCAGTTCATGAAGAGCTGCAGCCCTTTGGGAAGGACTCACATGGGAGAAGTTTGTGGAGGACGGTGTCCCGTGGGAGCAACCTCACACTGGAGCAGGGGAAGCGTGTGAGGAGCCCTCCCTATGTGGCTGAAGAAGCGGCAGGACCAGTGTGTGACAAACTGACCCCGATCCCCATTGCCCGACCCCCTGTGCAGCTCAGGGGAGGGGGTAGAGAAATCGGGAGCAAAACCCGGGAGGAAGGCAGGGGTGGGTGAAAGGGGTTTTTCCGATGTGGTTGTATTTCTCACTATCCTACTCTGATGTGACTGGCAAATTAGTAGTGGTGGTGGTGTTCAAATTAAATTGATGGCCTTTTTCCTAAGCTGAGTCTGTGTTTTGCCCACGACCATAATTGGTGCACGAGTCCTCCCTGTCCTTGCCTCAACCCAGGAGCCTTTTGTTAGAGTTCCTCCTCCCCATCGCACCAGGGGGCAGGCCTGAGCCAGCGGCCGCGTGTTTACTTGCCGCCTAGGCCTAAACCATGACACGCAGACACCCCAAACACTTTCTTTAGCTTCGCTGTGTACGCGTCATGACGGACACGGTTGCCACGTTTCTGTCAGTTCAGCATGTGTAGAAAAGTACATCTGATGCACCTCCTGTCCAAAGCCTTCTGGAGGCAACGAGAGGGTGGGGATGTCAGTCAGTAAGATGGGAGCATGCCCAGAAGGCCCTTTCTGTGCTAAGTCTCTCCTGTCAACGACATGGGCACCTGAGGTCCCAAGCAGAGGGAACCTAGAATCTTAGAATCAGGCCAGGATGCTCTTGGCTTTCTTGGCCACCAGGGCTCACTGCTGGCTCATCTTTAGCCAAGAGCTGACCAACACCCCCAGGTCCTTTTCAGCCGGGCCGCTCCCAGCCACTCTTCCCCAAGCCTGGAGCGTGGCGTGAGGTGGTTGTGAGCCAAGTGCAGGACCCGGCACTCGGCCTTGCTGAACCGCATACAGTTGGCCTCGGCCCACCGGTCCGGCCTGCCCAGGTCCCTCAGCAGAGCCGTCCTTCCCTCACGCAGACCAACGCTCCCGCCCGACTTGCTGTGGTCTGCAACCTGACTGAGGGTGCGCGGCGTGCCCTCGTCCAGAAGGTCCAGAAAGATCCTGCGGCCCCCTGCGACCACCAGCACACGGGTGCGGAGCTGCAGACCTCGGAGGTGGAGGTGCCTCACCTCGCCGCCAGCCTGAGAAGCTGCCTCTCGAGAGCAGCGCGGCTCTGCGGCCGTGCTGGGCTGCCCGACAAGCTGGCCTCTGCCTCCTGAAGGCTCGCCTAGGTGTCCGAGCTGCCTTGGTGCGCTCCAAACATCATCTCAACGGTGATGTTCCACTTGGAGGTGCTTGTCAGCTGGAACCTGCAGGACTGGGAGGAGGGGGGCAGCACCGTTAGCTGGCAGTGGCACGACTGAGGCAAAAGCAGCCAGGCCGATCTCACCGGGCCCTGGGCCCAGCAGGTGACTTTCTCCATGTCTAAGCAGGAGAGTGTGCAGAGGGTGCGTGGCAGGACCGAGCTCTGATCCCTCCGCAGCTCGTCCTCGGGGTGGTGCAGAAAGCACAGCGCGTCGCCCAGCAGCTGCTCCCTCGAGCACAGGCACTGCTGCTCCACACGGATTCTGGAAGGGGTCGCTGGCAGCTGCCCCGCCGTGTCCAGCTCCAGGCTGAAAGAGTGCCCGGGGGGTGGCCACAGCAACACGAGCAGGGAGTAGGCGATGCTGTTCTCGCCGATGCTCCAGGTTTCGTAGGCGCTGCCCAGTCCAACGGCTGGCTGCATCTCCGGCATGAAAGTGCTCCTGCAAAGCACTTGGCACACCTCAAGGAGCTCACCCACCAGCTCCTTCAGCACCTGGCACGTGTCGGGCAGGCCCTGCCTTGGCGATGGGGTGGACACAGCCCGAGGCCTGGCAACACTGCGTGCACCGCTGCGGTCTTCCTCCTCCTCTTTGTCTTCGTCCTCCTCCTTGCTGCTGGAGCAGTCCTCACCACTGCAGCTCTCAGAGACAAGCTTCACTTTCCTGCAGCACCACCAGACCTCAGCGAGCAGGACCAGGACTCCCACAGGAGTCCAAGGTGGGCACCGCTGCCACACAGAAGAGAAGATGTCTTCCCACGCAGGTCTGCTCTCAATCTCCTGCAGCAGCCGAGTCATCTCCTGACGCAGATACTCCTCACGCTGCTGCATCCTCTGGGACGTGGCCACATCTGTATGGTCATCCAGCTTCAGTCCATGCTGGAGCACCAGCAGAGCCAAGACGAGGGCAACTGCTGCAGCCATGGCCTGGAGGAAGCGGAAGAAAAGGGGGCTCAGCAGGGCTGGCTGGGAGGGAGCACGGGCCTGGGGGAGCGGGGCAGGAGCTGCCTGGAGCTGGGGGCCGGTAGGAGACGGGTTGTGGGAGGTAGCGGGGAGCAGGGGCAGGCTTTGTGAGCACTGCACGGGCAGGAGCCATGGGATGTCCCAGGAGAGGGCTCGGGCGCTGGTGTCAACAGGCTTGGGCAGGGGCCGCAGGCCCTGGAGACAGCATGGCAAGGGGCACCAGAGTGGCATCTCCCGAGGCCCCATCCCCGCCACACAACAGCCTCCCGTCGAGCCGCAGGCACCTGGCACGTCCCCAAAGCCTCTCTGGGCTCCCCCCACCCCCGGGAGCTCTGAGCACCGCTGGCCCCAGCCCCGAGGGCAGTACCGTGCCCTGCCCCGAGGGGCTCGGCTCTCCCTCTGGGTTGCAAACCCCCTGGCCATCTGCAGAGGATAAAGTGACATGAAAGTACAGAGGCCCTACCTAAGTCAGTGGAAAGTGGGGGATTACCCTCACCCATTCCAGTCACAGGCAAAGGACAGACTCGTTAGGGGAAGAAAAAACCATCACTTTCATTCAAACGCTAACCAAGACAAGACTTAACCGACAAGGTGGGACATTGAGAAGCGCCACCACATCCGAAAACATCTCCCCCCACCCCTCCCTTCTTGCCAGGCTCAGCTCTGCTCCCCATCTCTCTACCTCCTCCCCCAGCGGCGCAGGGGGCAGGTGTCCCGTTCAAAAACACAGAAGGGGAGGAGAGGTCGAGGACACCCGAAGCGACATTAAGACACAAACACGGGGTCAACTGCTGATAACCAAAGGCAAATTCAGTTTATTACTTACGACAGGGGAGAAAGAGGGAAACGATCGGAAAAAGGGGGAAAAAGGCAAAGATTGTCTTAAGAAAAGCAAGGGATAGTCACTGCCACGGATCCAACGGCGTCCTGCTGGGCCTCTCCTCTTCGGTGGGTTAGCTCTGCTCTGGCCTGTCTTGCATCTGTTTTATACAGTTCTGATGGCAAGGTTTACGGTTGCTTTTCAGCAGTCTTTCCTAAGTTCGCTATTCACAACGATGGCGTGTCCGCCAGGTAGGCTTGGGCACTCACGTATCTATCGGTAGCGGAACACTTTTCTAGGGGGCTGTCAGTAGCCAGACCCCTCCTCTGAATGCCGTGACCTTCAAGCGTGTGGGCATGGAATGGGCAGTTGCAGTTTTGCTGATTGTGCTGTCGTCGTGGTGACTGCTCAACGATGGGAAGCGAACATCTCCCACCAAGGCCAGCCAGATGTCGCTTATCTTCCAAGGAGGCGAGCACCCTGCTTTACCAAGGCCAGCCAGGACACATAGAGAGAGCAAACATGAGCCAGGCAATGGCGAGACAGAAATCCTTTGCCTTAGCCCTTTAGAGCAGGGGATGGGGACTGCAGTCAGCTGCCCGCTCCTGCCTTCTCGGGAGGTGGGGTGATCGCCGCACATTCCTCCCCTGCTCCACGTGGCTCCCCTCTCGCTGGAGACAGTCCTCCACGAACCTTCTCCGCAGTGAGTCCTCCTCAGGGGATGCAGCCGTTCCCGTGCTGCTCCGGCGTGGCTCACCCCCGCGTGTTGCAGTCCTCCCAGCGCCGAACTACAGCGGCGGGGGCTGCTTCTGCCCTCAGAGTCCTGGCTTCCTTTAAGTGCCGATGCCAGTCCTGGTGTGGGCTCCTCCACCGGCTCCAGGTCAGCCACGGATCCACCACAGACCTCCATGGGTGGCAGGGGGGTGGCCCTGCCATCTCACCGTGGGATATAGGGGTCTCTGCTCCGGCACACTTCCCCCAGATCCTTCTCCTTCCTTCCTTCCACTGACCTGGGTGTTCATCATCCTCGTAACTCCTCACGAGCCACAACCCCCTCCGAGGTTCCACTTCTTAAACACCTCCTGGCAGAGGCACGACCACCGTCACTAACTGGCTCGGCCCTGGCCAGAGGCGGGTCCTACTTGGAGCGGGGGGAGCCTTCGAGAAGCTTCTCACAGGGGCAACCGCTGTAGCTCCTTCCCCTGCTACCAAAAACCCCGCTACACCAACCCAGCACACACCCCCAGGTCCTTTTCAGCCGGGCCGCTCCCAGCCACTCTTCCCCAAGCCTGGAGCGTGGCGTGAGGTGGTTGTGAGCCAAGTGCAGGACCCGGCACTCGGCCTTGCTGAACCGCATACAGTTGGCCTCGGCCCACCGGTCCGGCCTGCCCAGGTCACTCAGCAGAGCCGTCCTTCCCTCACGCAGACCAACGCTCCCGCCCGACTTGCTGTGGTCTGCAACCTGACTGAGGGTGCGCGGCGTGCCCTCGTCCAGAAGGTCCAGAAAGATCCTGCGGCCCCCTGCGACCACCAGCACACGGGTGCGGAGCTGCAGACCTCGGAGGTGGAGGTGCCTCACCTCGCCGCCAGCCTGAGAAGCTGCCTCTCGAGAGCAGCGCGGCTCTGCGGCCGTGCTGGGCTGCCCGACAAGCTGGCCTCTGCCTCCTGAAGGCTCGCCTAGGTGTCCGAGCTGCCTTGGTGCGCTCCAAACATCATCTCAACGGTGATGTTCCACTTGGAGGTGCTTGTCAGCTGGAACCTGCAGGACTGGGAGGAGGGGGGCAGCACCGTTAGCTGGCAGTGGCACGACTGAGGCAAAAGCAGCCAGGCCGATCTCACCAGGCCCTGGGCCCAGCAGGTGACTTTCTCCATGTCTAAGCAGGAGAGTGTGCAGAGGGTGCGTAGGAGGACCGAGCTCTGATCCCTCCGCAGCTCGTCCTCGGGGTGGTGCAGAAAGCACAGCGCGTCGCCCAGCAGCTGCTCCCTCGAGCACAGGCACTGCTGCTCCACACGGATTCTGGAAGGGGTCGCTGGCAGCTGCCCCGCCGTGTCCAGCTCCAGGCTGAAAGAGTGCCCGGGGGGTGGCCACAGCAACACGAGCAGGGAGTAGGCGATGCTGTTCTCGCCGATGCTCCAGGTTTCGTAGGCGCTGCCCAGTCCAACGGCTGGCTGCATCTCCGGCATGAAAGTGCTCCTGCAAAGCACTTGGCACACCTCAAGGAGCTCACCCACCAGCTCCTTCAGCACCTGGCACGTGTCGGGCAGGCCCTGCCTTGGCGATGGGGTGGACACAGCCCGAGGCCTGGCAACACTGCGTGCACCGCTGCGGTCTTCCTCCTCCTCTTTGTCTTCGTCCTCCTCCTTGCTGCTGGAGCAGTCCTCACCACTGCAGCTCTCAGAGACAAGCTTCACTTTCCTGCAGCACCACCAGACCTCAGCGAGCAGGACCAGGACTCCCACAGGAGTCCAAGGTAGGCACCGCTGCCACACAGAAGAGAAGATGTCTTTCCACGCAGGTCTGCTCTCAATCTCCTGCAGCAGCCGAGTCATCTCCTGACGCAGATACTCCTCACGCTGCTGCATCCTCTGGGACGTGGCCACATCTGTATGGTCATCCAGCTTCAGTCCATGCTGGAGCACCAGCAGAGCCAAGACGAGGGCAACTGCTGCAGCCATGGCCTGGAGGAAGCGGAAGAAAAGGGGGCTCAGCAGGGCTGGCTGGGAGGGAGCACGGGCCTGGGGGAGCGGGGCAGGAGCTGCCTGGAGCTGGGGGCCGGTAGGAGACGGGTTGTGGGAGGTAGCGGGGAGCAGGGGCAGGCTTTGTGAGCACTGCACGGGCAGGAGCCATGGGATGTCCCAGGAGAGGGCTCGGGCGCTGGTGTCAACAGGCTTGGGCAGGGGCCGCAGGCCCTGGAGACAGCATGGCAAGGGGCACCAGAGTGGCATCTCCCGAGGCCCCATCCCCGCCACACAACAGCCTCCCGTCGAGCCGCAGGCACCTGGCACGTCCCCAAAGCCTCTCTGGGCTCCCCCCACCCCCGGGAGCTCTGAGCACCGCTGGCCCCAGCCCCGAGGGCAGTACCGTGCCCTGCCCCGAGGGGCTCGGCTCTCCCTCTGGGTTGCAAACCCCCCGGCCATCCGCCCCATCCCCAATCCAGCCCAGCCTTCCCCCTGCGTGCTGCACTCACCGAGCGCCCAAGTCAAAAGGCAGTGGGGCTGCCTGCTGGTGATGCTGTTCACAGTTCCCATTGGGACTTGGCCATTGTGCTGTCACAGCCGCCACAGCATCATCACCCAGACAGGAGGCCCCAGCCTTCGGCCCCCCCACCCGACCCCCCGCACGTCCTGGGCATCACACCTAGGTCCAGCCCAGCCGGCCGGAGCCAGCTCCCGGGGGTTCTCTTGACAAAGCGGGCAGACACCCCCCAAAACCGTAATGGACATGAGAACCGTGGATGCCCCTGGCTTACGTAGGGAGGTGCCACGTTTTCTGGGCCGGGTGGTCTGACTCCGAGTCGCCTTGAAAAGAAGAGCTACGAGCATTGCGGGGAGACCAAACTCCTCCTCCCTCTTCTCCTCTTGGAATCCTTCTTGGACTTAGCCCTGCAAACCCTCACAGCCAAGGAAAAGGCAAATCACGTCCGTGGTGCAAGCGGCAGAGATCCTGTGGCTCCTCGGCCTGCAGCCACCAACTGCTTGGCCCCTGCAAGGGCAGGGGAGGGCCCTGGAGAGGCCACGGCGGGGCCCGTGTCTCTCTGCTCTGATGAGGTTTCCCCTGTTCGGGAGAGTCCTCTGTACTCTGCGCTGGAGCCCTGGGCTGCACATCGTGCCCCCCAGAAGTGTGGCCTGTCCTGCAAGTGGGCTTGCCTTGAGACCCAGGGTGTTGGGTTTGTGTGTGGAGGGGTTTTGGTAGTGGGGAGGGAGCTACAGGGCTGGTTCCTGTGAGAAGCTTCTAGAAGCTCTCCCTGCTCCACGTTGGGCCTGCCGCTGGCCTGTGCTGCAGCAGTCTCTTCCTGAAGGACTGCAGCCCGTGGAAGGGACCCACGCCGGAGCAGTTCATGAAGAGCTGCAGCCCTTTGGGAAGGACTCACATGGGAGAAGTTTGTGGAGGACGGTGTCCCGTGGGAGCAACCTCACACTGGAGCAGGGGAAGCGTGTGAGGAGCCCTCCCTATGTGGCTGAAGAAGCGGCAGGACCAGTGTGTGACAAACTGACCCCGATCCCCATTGCCCGACCCCCTGTGCAGCTCAGGGGAGGGGGTAGAGAAATCGGGAGCAAAACCCGGGAGGAAGGCAGGGGTGGGTGAAAGGGGTTTTTCCGATGTGGTTGTATTTCTCACTATCCTACTCTGATGTGACTGGCAAATTAGTAGTGGTGGTGGTGTTCAAATTAAATTGATGGCCTTTTTCCTAAGCTGAGTCTGTGTTTTGCCCACGACCATAATTGGTGCACGAGTCCTCCCTGTCCTTGCCTCAACCCAGGAGCCTTTTGTTAGAGTTCCTCCTCCCCATCGCACCAGGGGGCAGGCCTGAGCCAGCGGCCGCGTGTTTACTTGCCGCCTAGGCCTAAACCATGACACGCAGACACCCCAAACACTTTCTTTAGCTTCGCTGTGTACGCGTCATGACGGACACGGTTGCCACGTTTCTGTCAGTTCAGCATGTGTAGAAAAGTACATCTGATGCACCTCCTGTCCAAAGCCTTCTGGAGGCAACGAGAGGGTGGGGATGTCAGTCAGTAAGATGGGAGCATGCCCAGAAGGCCCTTTCTGTGCTAAGTCTCTCCTGTCAACGACATGGGCACCTGAGGTCCCAAGCAGAGGGAACCTAGAATCTTAGAATCAGGCCAGGATGCTCTTGGCTTTCTTGGCCACCAGGGCTCACTGCTGGCTCATCTTTAGCCAAGAGCTGACCAACACCCCCAGGTCCTTTTCAGCCGGGCCGCTCCCAGCCACTCTTCCCCAAGCCTGGAGCGTGGCGTGAGGTGGTTGTGAGCCAAGTGCAGGACCCGGCACTCAGCCTTGTTCAACGTCATGCAACTGGCCTCGGCGCATCAGTCTGGCCCTCTCCAGATCCCTCTGTGGAGCCTTCCTTCCCTCAAGCAGAACAGCACTGCCACCCAACTTGGTGTCATCTGCAACCTTACTGAGGGTGCACTCGATCCCCTTGCCCAGATTGTTGGTAGAGATATTAAACAGAACTGGTCGTAGTGCTGAGCCCTGGGGAATACCTCTTGGGACCAGCTGCCAACTGGACTTAACTGCATTCACCACCACTCTTTGGTCCTGAACAGTCAGCCAGTTTTCTACCCAGTGAAGAATACACTTATCCAAACAATGAGCAGCCAGTTTCTCAAAAAGAATGCCAGGGGCAATATGCAGTTTATGACAACCTTTGTGTCTGGAAGTTAGGTAGTTTTGCAAGCGTAATCAAAGTTTAAATCTTCATTATATGTATTGTTGTTAGTTGAGAGCTAGATAATACTTATGTCACAGCTAAATAGCAGAAAGCAGTAAGTCATCTGCCTGGATCATCCAAGGTAAAGATTTCCTAAGCTCTGGGCATAAGGGTCTGTAAACTCTTGGTAGTACCTGTTATTATTTGATTGAGCCCAAAGAGAGGAAAACTGTGCATATTCTGGGGACTTCCTCCACTTCAACACAGAGGAAGAAGGATGCCTTTTTAAAAAGCAGTAGGAAGAAAAGGAGGTTTTGAACGGTGAAAAGAAAACCAAGTTTTGGTGCTCATGGGGTGTTTGTTCCCTGACTTACACTGCCTTTAGACTCTGCCATGCATCAGTAAGCCAGAAGACACATAAAAGGAATAATGTGCTAGAATGGGGATCTTGTATACATGCAAAATTTTTATTAATTACTAGCAAAAATCAGTGCTCTGTGAGGAAAAAACCACTAGAACGGGGACCACCCATAGAGGTTCTGAGAACAACAATCTTTGAGATGTTCACAATTTAGCTGCTCACAGCCCTAAGCAACCTGATCTAGAAGGACCTGCCTGGAGCAGGAGGTTGCACTAGAGATCCTGATAGGTCCTTTCCACCTCAATTACTCTGTAATTTATAATAGAAAGAGGCTAGTGCATTTGCAACCAGTACCTGCACTACACAAAGTCAGGTGCTATCAGAACCATCCTGACAGGCTTGACTACTTATGAGAAAGCTCCTAAGTCAGCTGAAGTGCTGTGTGTAAGTACACAGCAGTGAAATATCTCTGAACTTTTTGCTTAATTTCCCATCTCTTGGACTCAAGTTTCTTGGGTACAAACTCCATAAAATAAGTGCTCAGGTTCAACAGTCAGTCATTAGGGAATGACGACTTTCTTCAGAAGAGGCAGTACAGTCTCAGAGGCTCAGGAAAGCCTCTAGATATTCAGAAATGGCAGGCCTGAACCACAGCTGACAGAAACCAGCAGGTTGTGAACATTCCCTGGCTCACCCCAGGTCTCTCCAGGCAGGGTACAAAGTCACCTGTCTATCCCCACCCTCAGGTCATCCAGATTTCTAGTGCAATAGCACGCTGGTCACAGAGAGCAGAGCTGGCCCCTCATGTATTTTATTTTCCCCATGGCTCATATTTGCCATGAACAGGCACAGTGGCGTTTCGGCTCACCCAGCTGAGCAGTGGGAACACTGCTGAGCCCGTAACAGCTCTTAGATGTACTCGGAGCCCTGATCCATTCTGATGGTCAGTAACATGGGACATGGTCAAGGGGTTGGGTGGCCAGGCTGAAAGCAGGAGCTGGCTAAAAGTGCTATGTATATGCCCAAAACACGTTACAAAGAGTAGGTAACCCAGCCAACCTGACACCTTACTGCAGAGCTAATGTTCTAACTTGGCAATTACACATCACGACAAAGAAGGGATAACACTCTCAGCTCGGTAATGAGCAGACACACTTGCTGCTTGTACCCATCGTGTTTCTTTAGCTTACTGTATTATTGTAACATTCTGTCCTTATAAAGTAATTGTGTCTGTAGTCACCCTGGGACTCTACTGCTTCATCCAAAGTTGCCAGTTTTCTGTCCTGCCTGTACGTAAAACCCAGGAGCTTCAACAAATCCCTTCTGGAAGTTGAGCTTTGCTTCAATGCACGCTTCTCTTTTTCAGCAAATGAGACTCCGGTGGCAAGGGGAGATGATTTATGAAGAGGCAGCACACGCAGAAAAACTTTCCCTTGGGGGCTGAATCTGACAGGGCAGTTCCAGTGAGCTGCTGATTTGGGACTAACCTAGACAAACATTTCCATGTTTCTTCCTCTTCCCAGGAGAGGATAAGAGGTGACACCACTCCCAGACTGGGCAGTGGCTGGGAGCACCCGAGAACGTGTCAGTGCATTGTCAGGGCTGTGGGTGATGAGCTCCCAGCCGCCAGTGAGAGCTTGCAGAGCAGAGAGAGCAGGTCCCTGTGCTCTGCTGTCTCAATTTACAGCCTGGTTATAAAGCACAGCAGTGATCCCAGTGGTGAAGGGTTCTTCTGTGTCTTTGTCATCTCTCCAGGGGCCATAAGGGCTGGATCGGTGAGAAGGCAGCTTCCCTTTGGCTTTCAAGCAGAAGAGATGATGACTGCAGTTCTCCCCTGGCAGGTGAAGAGTTCAGCTCCAGAGCTGTTCAGCATGGAACATGGGAATGAACATCTTCAGCAAGTTCAGCCAGGCCTCCAGCAGACTGGTGAGGACAGAGCATGAAGCTTTGGGCCTCACTCTGTGCCCTGGGAGCTCCTGCAGTCATCCCTGAAAAAGGGGAGCTACACATATCAGGGCTGCATATCAGGAAAAGATCACCAGGGCTCAATTGAACAAGTTCCCTTAGGAAGACCCTGGTCATCCCAGGGAATAATGATGTGACACAACTCTTCCTCAGGCATGCAGGGCTGCTCTCTAGCTGTACAATTAATTTCTGAGTCTGAGGAGGGTCCATAACTGTGTCATTGTGAACACCAAGATGAATGTGGCCAAGCTCCAGAGCTTGTTTTTTGGTCTGAAACAGGGTGCGATGTAGGAGCTGCAGGGACCTCCCTTCCTGGCACCAAGGGAGGGAGCATGGAGCGACAAGTGAAGGACGAGCAGAGTACAATCCACAGTGGCTGATACAGTGACATGTCAGTCCCTTCTAGCTACCTGCTCCTTCTCTTCCAGACTTCATGGTCCTTCCAGCCTGTTAGCCAAGGGTCAGCAAAGTGGCATTTTCAGCCAGAGAGAACTCCTCTGTCACAGCTTTCCTAGGCCAGAGAAGGCCTCTGCTTCTAGGCCAGAGAAGGTCCAGAGCAGCTGGAAGCCATCTACAGCACTGCCATGAACTGTTTCTTTTGAAGCTGAGCAGAGATCTAGCACAGAGGTGATGCTGCAGCATAGCAGTAAGATGCCCTGGACAAATCCTGCCACCCCGGCTGGTGCAAGTTTGTCCCTTCTTCACTTTTGGCAGAGGTTTCCCTGTGCCGCAGTCCAAAAAATGGAGATGGTGGGGAAAAAGTCAAGCTGGGATAAATCAAGTCAGGAGAACTCAAGACTACTTTCCCCTGATTTGAAGACAGCTCGGCCTCCCAAGTCAGCAAAGCCATGTCTATGTGCAGAAGAGCTGAATGGGCAGTGGAGGCTAGAATTAATATCTTTCTAAAAATGATCTGCTAAGAGAAGTGTATTTCAAGGGGAGCAGGCTCTGGAGAGCCCTGACAGCCTGGTCCAGTGCTCCCTCACCAAGCAGACAGGCCAGCACTGGAAAGCAGGAGCAGCACAGTAATGGGGACACAGCTCTCCAGTGAGCTCTCTCAGCTCAGCCCCTCTGTGCCTACCCCACTAAGCAGGGTTCTGTGTGGCCAGGCCATAGACCTAACAAACAGGACACACAGCCCTACACCAAGCCCTCTCTGGAGAAGATCTCACTAGCCAGGACTATGCCTGAGCCAAGAAACAGCCTTCAAAGAAAGGAAAAAAACCCACCCAGGGAAGGCAAACACACTGACCGCATGTAGTACCAGCCAGCCAAGAGATGGGCACACAGACACTCAGAGCAACATGAAGGCAATCCCACACCATCACCAGAAGCCCTCCTTCTGCTTCAAACAGCCTCAGCTTGGCAGTGAGCCCCCAGGACGTGACCCCACTGTTGATGCGAACTGGCACCCCCAGCCTCTCGTGTCCCCCAAACCACTCCCCCTCCAGCAGGACAAGGAGCAAAAGCACACGCCGCAGGCAAGAGTGGGACCTCCTTAAGCAGTGGTGCAGGTACAGCTTCTTCCACTCAGGTTTGTTAGGGTGTTTGTGCTTGTTTGAGCCTGCTGGGCTCTCCCATGGGTTGAGCATTCTCCAGCTGCTTGCCCGTGCAGCACAGCACCCTGCTCCCACTCCCTCCTCTCTGGAGAGCACCCCCATCCGACAACCCAGTCGCTGCCTCCTGAGAGAGACAAGAAGGAGCATCCTCCTCCAGCCTGGAGCCTCTCTGCCAGACACGCTGGACACAACCGATGCTCTAACAGGGGAGTGCCCCAGCCCTCAAAGCTGGAGTGGGGGGAGCTCCCGGGAGCAGGGGATGTCCCGCTCCCTGGGGCAGTGAGGCTGGCAGAGCAATGAAGCCAACCAGGAGTGCCTCTGCTGTGCCCACCCAGCTGTCCCCATGGCCAGCCCTGTAGAGACTTTTGGCAGCTAGCACCCAGGTAGCTGTGACGCCTTCGTCAGTGCTGGCATCCCAAGAGCAGCAAAACCCAGGTTGCTAAAGGGAAAAACATTTTTTAAGTTAATTGCACAAGGCCCCTGAAGCTGCTCTCCGACAGCTGGAGGCCGGAGCAGAGGGCCAGTCTTCATTATGTCCCTTCCCTGTTCACTGTCACTTGGCAAGTCATCTTAGTCGTCTGCCAGTGCCACGGGGGTCCCGCGGGTGCCCCGGGGGCTGTGGCGTGTGTCGCACAGAGATGACCCATCCTGCTCACAGTCCCAGCGCCTGAGGCAGTGCCCCAGCAGCTGGTGGCACTGGGGTCACCTCTCAGCAGGCACCCACCATGGCCCTGTGCCACCCGCCCAAACTGGTGCGACAGAAACTACAGGGACTGCTGCCGGCCGCATGGCACCGCTGCAGCAAGGCAGGCGTGGGGCCCAGGCACCTTCCCTGCCCCTCACAGAGAGCAGCACCCATGGGCTGCCTGGCCTGGGACAGCACAGGGGAAAACACGGTCCTTGTCCCTCACTATAAAGGTAGAGGAAAGCAGCTGGGCTCGATGGCGCACCTTGGTGCACCTGTGCCCACCCCACTAGAGCCCCTCGCTCTCCTCGGGGTAGGCCTTCGGGTCAGGACATCTGCTGCAGCCATGAGGGCCATGTTGACGGCACGCTAGCGGTCTGGCAGAGCCCACCTCTGCTCCAGGGAGGGATAAAGTCCCTTCATTGACCTGCATACAAGCATTTGAGTCAGGACTTCCAAAACCGGGCAGCTTCAGCCTAGAGGTTCAGACAAGGACTGATTTCAGCAGGCATTTTCCAGCCTCTCGCCTCCCTGACTTGCTCCCTAGAAAATGCCTGGCCCTCCAAATCTCTGTAAGGGCACTCGCTCTTCTTCACATCCCTCTTGCACTCCAGGAGTAGAGAGCTGATCTGCGTGTCTCCTCTAGCCTCTTCCCTGCCTCTCACCAGTGCCAGAGCCCGTGTTTTCCTGGGCTGGGCACCACGGGCAGCTCACACATGTGATGCCCTGCCGGCTCTCTCTACGTGCTAGGGCACGCTCTGCCTACAAGCAATGGCAGCGCTGCTGAAAAGCCTCCTGGCAAGGAACTGCATGTATCAGCGCCTGGTTTAGTCACTTCAAAACAATCTGGTTAGTAAGAGGGAGAGGAGGGAGGAAGACTGTACCCCAGGCAGAGATTGCACATGGAAATACCAATGAGATGACACTGTTCTCTGAGAAGTATTGGAACAACTGGAGGAGCAATAAAACACTGCAGTTTCCATTCACATGGCTGTATCCCATGGACAAAGAAAAAGCAGGGATCTTATTGGAAGTCCTCTCTGATTCATATCTGTCTGGCCTGGATCAGTTCTTCTGAGGAGAGAAAGGCTGAACCTTGTCCACTAAAACAAAAGGAAAATGCATGAAGGAGAGCGCAGCTGAGGCAGTTGCTGAGCCCAGGTGGGCAGCAGGCAGCCCTGCTCCAGAAACAAGGGCAGCAAGGAGCCACCTATGCCCACCTCTTCCTCTTCCCCCTTCCCCGGGGCATGATCTGAGTGAGCACTCTCTGCTGTTGGCTCTCGGGCTGCAGCTAGCGTTGCTGCTCACCCAGGGACAAAACTGATTGAAAGATAAATGATTCAGTCGGGTTCTTGTGTTTTGGGGTATCTGACAAAGGCAACTGTTAGCTGCACCCTGAAAAGCAACTGATTTCTTAGGCTGTTCTGGGGCAAGTGGGTTTTGCATGTAGAAATCTCATCCGATTAGCTGCAAGAGTTGTCCTGTGAGTCAGTACTGGCTGGTTAGGAAACTCTCCTTTAACTGAATGGAAGCCAAAATATGCTGTAAAGCCTCGTTTCCAGCCACATTTTTTGGGTCAGTAGCCAGAAAACCCCAGCACATCAGGAAAAAAAAACACTGGAAAACAAAACAGAAGATGGCTTTTGCAGTTTTCCTTTGTATTGGTGTGTTCAGGGGAAGAAGGGAAGGTTTTGCTCTCTCTCTGACAATTGGGTTAGGGAGTCTCTGGAAAGTCCACATTTTTAAAATCAATTATAAAGAGAAAAAAAAATCTCTGCTTAATGCAAGACAAGAGGTGCTGCTACTAAGCCTCATTTCCAGGAAGCAAAACATGGCAAAATCCAGGAGGGACACATGCATGTAAAGGAGGCAGTATGAACGAGTCAGAAAAGCTGAATATCCCATTCTCTCCTGATGGCTTGACAAGTTGCTTCCCCCACCTCCTCTTCATCTTTTTTCCATCCTGTCTCCATTAGAGGCACAACATTTGGGCCAGGATGGCCATGAGCCCCTCACAAAGTGACTGCAGCCAACATGTTGTCATAGTGCAAGCCCTGGATGATATTCAAGCCTCTGCAAGAGGGGTCCAGAGGAGTGGGATGCTGAACACAGGCTGCAGCTGCCAACTCCTCGCTGCAATGCCACAGTATAATGCAAAAATGCCTGTAAGGGAGGAAAACTCTGTGATGGGCCTGGATGCACCCTGCATTTTATTCCTATTTAATATAACCCTACTGACAAAGGGACATCCTCTGGGGTTAGGATCTCCTCATACAAGGTGAGTCATAAACCCCAGCAGTACTTTGACCCTCTCACAGGAAATAAAATGGGGCCTAAAAGATTTTGGGATCAGAAGAGCATTAGCGTTTGCCAGCCAGACGTGGACAGATTTGTGATGTGACTTTCTCACTGTCACTACAGGACTCTCAGCACCTCTGAAGCCATTTCAGTGGCATGTCTCAGCCTGAAACACATCACTGCCAGTGCTCCCAGTGCAAGTCTGGGCTGGGTTCACAGGCTAAGGGAAAAGGTTTTTTCCACATGAAAGGCTTTCTCTCTGTTGACGGTAATAAGCAAGGGAAGAGAGGAGCTGATCCTGTTCCCGCGGGCCAGGTTACTCACATTTTGCAATGCTTGGGGCACATGCATGGGAGAAAATAAAAGACAGCACACAGACATACGAAAATCTTTCTGGGCCAGATTATCTTCCCATCTGTCCTGTCTCAAGGGTGGCCAAGAGCAGGTGTCAGAGCAGAACATAGGCATGGGGCAGGGAAGTAGCAATACCCACCAGAGCTCCCCCAAGCACGCGGCAGTATGCAATTCAGGGCCTCTGCTTGGACCTCCCGCAGTGGGTTCAAAATCCAGGGCTGTGTCCTGCTGCAGGGGTCGGCTCCAGCCCCCTCGAACGCACCCGGAGCCCTCCAGCCATGACTGCCGGAGCCATCTCATCAGACACATCTTCCAACATGCTTGCACACACACACACACCCCCCCATCGCTACCCATGCTCCTGTCGCTTAGCACCAGTGATAAACAGGACCTATCCCTTGGCTGGGTGCCTGCCCAAGGCGTGCAGGATCAAGTCTTCTCCTGAAAACCTCCCCTGGCAGCCACTGAACAGCACCCCTTGGTTTATCAAGCAGTGTGGCTATCCCTGTAGCAAAAGGAGCCTTGCTTGATCAACGCCATCCTGCTAGGAAAGTTGGCACACATCTGCCTGCCCTTTGGCGCAGATCTCTTTGCAATCCCCTTGCCTTGGCCCATGTTTCCCCCTACATTACAAAACCACTCCATCTTCAGGACAGTTTTGACTTATTGCTAAACATACAGCAGGTTTCTTGCTTGGGTTTGTCCAGCCACTTCTCCCCAGGGGCAGGGCTCCCTGCCCCTGGCTCCAGCAAGGTCCACAGCTTTCTCCATCCAGTGCCAATTTTCCTTTTTCTCTGGCAGATAACCTCAGCCGCTGCACCCCACATTCAGTCTCTCATGAGCCCTTTCTCCAGCTCCTCTGATTTTCCAGCATCCCCTTCCAGCTGTCTGTGAGCTGAGAGAAACTCAACTCCTCCCCACTGCACCCTACAATATGCCTCTTTTTAAGCTGCCGTCTAACGCTTCCAGCCCACCCCACAGGGAACTGCAGGCTCCCAGGCATTTTAACCGAGGAGAGAGTAGTTCTTTGACAGAAGAGGATGCCCTGCCTTCCTCCCCATCCCTAGCCAGGCTCCTGCCCTGTGCCTCTGAGGGCACTTGGGCTGCAGCAGCAGGTCAGACCCAGGACCCAGTCCTGCTCCTTTACCCAGCCTGGCAGGATCGCAGGACCGACCAAAGCAACAGCAGAGTCAGGAACCTTAAACCTGGACAAACCATTTTCAGGGGGCTGAAGCGAGATGAGAAGCCAGCCCCGCGCAGCAGTGACTGCCGCCGTGCTCCATCAGCAAAGCCAGGAGCGGGGGCTGCCCACAGCAGGGGAGCTGGCGGCAGCCTGGCCGAGGGGGCAGCGGTGGGGACCCCAGGGCCCCCAGAGGGGCAGGCAGGTTCGGCCGGAGCCCAGACGAACGGCTGAGGACGGTTTCCACCGCACCCTGCCTTCACCCTCCCTGCACCCCTGCAGGAAACAGCCCCCACGGCCCTCGCCCCGGGCCCGCGGGACGGCGTCCACCAGCCCCGAGCGTGGCAGGACGAGCCCCGACGGCTCCCGGTGCCACCCGTCCCGTCCGGAGAGCCCCGCAGCGCGTACAACCATGCGTTGAGCCCTGCCAAGGAGAGTGGATGCCAAACCTGAATTACCAGCCCAGAGAGCGGCTGCGGATCCCGGGAGCTCCTGTGATTTGCGGCAGGTTTTTCAGGTCCCCGCCTGTCACACACACATACACACACACACACACACACGCAGATACTTAAGCAGTCACCCAAGGACCTGCAGGGTTCCTGTTTTACACACTTCTGGTCCCTGCCAGCTCCAGGTAAGAGCAGGATTTGAGCTGGGGGTGCTGGGGTGGATTCGCAGTTGGGGATGGGGGGGTGGAGGGAGGTGCTGACCTGCGCTTACTGATGCCGGGGAGGTTGGAGCAGCACCCAGCTGGGCTGTGGTGGGAAAGCTTCGTACCTGGGGCAGGGAGAGGGGTCATTGCAGGCAGGCAGAGACCCCAGGCTGGGGGTACCCCGGGGACCTGCCTCTGCTTTAGCAGCCGCTGTGCTCTTGTTTGCTTTGTTCCCATCTGATATTATCTTCTAAAAGGCTGAAACTGGTAGTTTACCGGATGCATGACAGGTGCTTTTTCCTTATTTATGGCAGGGTCTGTTTTATTTTTAAAGCCTCCGTCCCACCTTATCCTGTGCGCCATGCCGGCTGATGTTATCCACAGCCACCCCACAGCAGGAGTCCCCAGCAAGGCTTGGGACAGGACATGGCTCTGTAGCAGTGAGGGAGGGCAGGAGGGCTCATCTGCATTGAGAACTGCTATTTTGATCCCTGCAGTGGCAGGAAATAGCTGCAGGCTAAAACCAGATGCAGGTGCCTTCAGTCACATCCCAGCCCTGACAGTGGGGAGAGCACTGGGGAAGGGGACGAGAAGCCCAGCAGGGACTATGGGGCTGCACCAGCTGGGCAGGAGCTACTGCTCAGAGTTTCCCAGGGACTTTGGGTGCAGTAAATCGTTAGAAAACCGCACAGACAGACAGCTATTGTGTCTGACATTCAAAAAAAAAAAAAAAAGCAAAGCTGAGCAAACAGATCATTTATTTTCTGGAAAAGTGGCTGCTTTCTGCCAGGATAGTAAATGCTGACTGCATTAGCAGTGGGATGTCCCCTCCTGCCTCAGGCCAGAGCTGGGGGCCCTGCTCGTAACCCCAGGGTGTCTCTGGGGAGCTGGGTGCAACCACAGGACATGGGCAGCAGAATTGTGGAGGGAGGTCTCTCTGCACCTTACTGCTCCTACCTCACATCTAGGTCAGGTCACTCAGGACCTTGTCCAACTGATTTTTAGAGATCACCAAGGATGGAGATGCCCCCCACCTCTCTGGTCCCTGTCCCCATGTTGGACCAGCACACACTATGAAGATTTTTTTTTTTTCCCCCCCAATATCTAATTAGACTTTCTCTCGCTGCAACTTGTGTCCATCAGCCATTGCCTTTTGACTGCTCACTCCAAAATGGCCCGGGAGGTGCACTGAAATGCCCCATCAGCCACAACAAGAGCACCAGGTGCTGCCTGCACAGCCTCCGCGTACACAGCAATGCTGGCTGGAGCCACCCACAGCCCAGGCAACCCGCGAACCCCTTGCAAGCTTCAGCTGGTGGCTGCTCTCACATTGCCCCACCTAAAACCAAGACAGTCAGTCAGAGCCAAGTGTGAATTCCCCAACTTGACACGCAGGACAGAGCAGGTGTCACTGGTGCTGTGGTTTCACTGTGACAGCGCATCTAGTAGTGTCATTTCTGCCTGGGTGAGTAAACCCCTGACACCAAACTCTCATCCCTGGGCTGCCCGGGGGAGACAGCGGTGGGCGTGGGACTGCTCACACAGCTGAGTGACGACCACAGCCCCTCAGCCTTTCTGAAAGCCAGATAGATGAGTTACATCCTTTGCACTGAAGAAAAAAAAAAAAAAAAAAAAAAGCCATTTTTTCCAATGCCTGCAAAAATTTAGGCAGAAAAAAAAAGCAGTGAGCAGTGATGCTTTTCAGCAACTGAGCAAAACAGTTGTGATTCTCCATTTTTCTACCAGAAAGAAATAAATATAAGCAAGAAAATCACCTCTCCTGTGTAGAGCAGAGGCCCTGTGCAGCCTGAAGGCCAGGCTCCAGGCCTGGGCTTAAACAGGGCTCCATTTAAGTAGCGGGTAGGTGAGTAGAGGTCCAGATATGTCCAGTCGAGACATTTAGGGACTCCTGGTGCCCTCAAGTCCTGTCATATACATCCAATTTTTAGCGCCTGAGAGCCACCAAGTGCTGGGCGCCACAAGCTGCACAGGGCCACATGGCTCCTGAAAACCTCCAGTGCCCAGTGGAGCGTTGTGGGGAGACCTGAAGAGCCCTCCAGGACCCCCTGGGTTTTGACCTTTTCCTGAAAGCCATCTGACAGCCTTAAGAGCTAGGAGCTGTTCTCCCTCCAGAGCAGGAGTAGAGGGGAGACAAGTTAAAACCATCAGACATCACCTTCTGCATGCTGGGGTACCTTGAGCTTCCAGCAGGCAGAAGATACCGTATCCTATGGAGAAATGCCTCAGAAACCTGGAGATTAGCAGAAATAGAAACAGCTATGCAGATGAAGCACGAAAGTTGAAGCACGTGTTTCTCATGCAAATCAATGCACACACACTACTGTACATTAATGCAGCAAGCTGCAAATGATGATTTATGAACTGCCAGGACACGTCGCTCCCAGTGGCCCAGGCTAGAGGCATGATCCAGAGGTGATGAGGAGCCCTGCGGTGACTGGGCTTCTAGAAGGGCAGGGGACTCAGTGGGGTACTGATCAAGGAGGAGAGGAAGGACTTGAGCTCGGCCTCACCTGCAGTTTGACCTCATGGAGGGCCGGGCAGGCACAGTGCTGGAAAGCAGCACCTCAAGTCCAGGGGAGCTCCTTCTCCCCCCCCACATCTTTTCCAGAGGTCTCCAAATGCCCGAGGTAGGTGAGCAGCATTCACCTGGCCCTCACCAGCTCGCAGGCATGAGGGACTGAACTTTGTCTGACCCCTTCCTATATGGACACCTCTGAACTGAGATGCTGCCAGGAAAGCCCAGGCAGCTGCTGCCGCACACCTACGGCCGCAACACTCAGCAGAGGAGGCCAGCTTGGCTTGCAGCTCCTGGGGTTAAAGACGGTCTTTCCCCAGTCCACCCAGGGGTGGCAGATGATGCTGTCTACCAGCACAAACCACCGTGCTCAGAGGTGCTCCAGCCTTATGCAACCACTGTGTTACAAGCAGTATGTACCAAGTGACTCAAGAAGAGTGGGCTGTTTCACAATCAGCTCTGGTCTATTTATAAGCCCCTACTCAAATGCCAAAGGATCCTTTTATTAGTCAAAGATCCTCCTGCAGGAAAGGCTCGGTGGGACCCTTGCTTTTCGAGGTAAAGCTCAAAGAAGAGCATCTCTCCAGCCTCTCATGAATAGCAGAGTTGGCTCTCTGCAAGCTGCGAGGCAGTTTCGGAGCTGAGCCCCATCCCAGCAGTGCTGTCAGCAAGTGAGAGCCCTGGAGCACCGAGTGGGTGAAAGTGAGTTATCCATCAATCAGGAAAGCATCTGGGTTTAAAGCTACGCAGTAAGGGTGCAGCATGATGGAGGTGCCTGGGTTACACCCCGGAGCCAAGGGGAAGGAGAAGCTGGACTGGAGGCAAGGCAGGTCTGCAGTGGATGGCCCAGAGGAGTCCTGGGGCGGGCTGAGGGCTCCCGGCAGCATGGAGAGCCAGCAACTCCAGGCAGCCCGCCTGACAGAGGCAACTCGGACAGCAGATCAAGAAAGGCCACATTTTTGCATCCAGCTCCTCCCCTGCCAACACCCCACAGCTTGGTTTCGGAAACACTGAAATGACTATGATTCAGCATCAAGGGACTCCTGCTTGCTTTTGGGGGCAATGCCTCGTGTTTTAGTTGACCGAATTGGCAGACTCGACCCTCTGACACGCAGGAGCAAACTTTGAGCCCTGCATAAGAGAGGTGTGGGACTTACCCAAGGATGCACTTACTGGTTTTGCTTGTGCTTTTGTGCCAAGTCTGCCAAAGATTTGTGCAAAGCACAAGTGGGACAAACGTTACTCTGGAGGAGAATGTGGGCTCCTTGCTTCTGCCATTGCCAGGAGCAGCTAGCACTGATCACAGCCAAAGGCAGCGAGCGCTTGGGCAGCGGACGTGCACTGGGTACGGTCCTCTGAGGACTGACCCTTCACTTCTGCACCAAAAACCAAACAAACGGTTCAGCAAAGCTCAGGAACAACACTAACTGTTTATGCTCATGCGTGGTAACATTAAATGTTAGTAATAACAAAGCAGCTCACCTGCTTATCGCCAGCGTTGTGTGATGCCTGGCCACACTGACAGGAGGAAGACCGGGAAGATCAGGAGGGAAAATGACATGATTGCTGGGTCCAAGCCCACGCTCCCAAAAGATCCTCGATCCTCTAGTTTGTGATTCCCCTGCAGAAACTTGCCTGGTCGCTGGGGAGAAGTTAAAAAAAAAACCAACCACTAGGCTGGATGCCAGCTACTGTCCCCTCACCCAGAGAAAAAATAATGTTTTTTAATTAGTATCTTTAAATTAACCCCCTCAATATGCCCGTTGCTGTGACATCACTCCCAAGTGACGCCCAGGCCTAAATACGGCTATAAACAGGAATCGGCCCCACGGGAGTCACACTGGCTATAAATACAGCAAGAGGGGAGCACTGAGCAGAGGACAGGCTGCAGTTTCCTGCCAGCTAAGGATGGTGAGACAGCTCAGCTGGGCGCTGTTGGCATGTGGTTGCCACAGTGGGGAAACTGAGGCAGGAGTTGCTGGGGGGGCTGGGGCTCACAGCTGAGCTCCCCGGCACACCTTTGGGAAGGGAGTCATGCCCTGTCGCGGCCAGAGGCCGCTGGGGAGGGGGGAGCTGGTGGGGAGGGGTGGTGGCAAATCAGGGGCTCAGCAAGTGTGGCCCTGCTGGTCCCTCCTCGCAGCGCCTGGCCCCATAGCCCTGCCCCGGGGAAGAGATGGCCACGGAGAAGCCAGTGACTCCCACTGAGGAGCAGCTGGAGATCCTGGAGTACAACTTCTGCAAGGTGAACAAGCATCCTGACCCCACCACGCTGTGCCTCATCGCAGCCGAGACTGGGCTCTCCGAGGAGCAAACCCTGGTGAGTACCTGCCCCTCGCCCCCGCCTTGGCACCAGCCCTGCTGCCCCTGCATGCCCCCGTGCCCCACACACTCCCCCCACATTTTCTGCCTGTCCTGCCCCCGGCACTCTATCATACCCCCTGCACCCTTCTGTCCCCCCACATGCTTCCTTCTGCACCCCCCTGCACCTCTCATGCTCCCCCCACGCTCCCTGCACCCCTCTGTGCCCCACAAGCTCCCTACGTGCACCCCCTGCACCACTCAGCACCCTGCATACTCCATACTGCACCCACAAGTCTCCTCTGCAACCCCCGGTGCACCCCTAACCCCACACTGCACCCACAGAGCTCTGCTGCACCACCGCACCTCCCTGCACCCCACATGTTCCCGACCCCGCAACCCCAAAGCCCCTTCTCCTGCAACCGCAGCCCCTTCGTCCCACGGCCGTGGCCTCCTGCACAGCAGCCCCGTGCCCCACTGGGATCTTTGTGCATCCCCTGCCCAGGAGCCCCATTCCCAGCCAGGTCTTGGTGACCAGGCTGGTGCTCCCCGCAGCCAGAACAAGCGCACCCCCCCGAGGGTCACTGGCCAGCCGTGGAGCCCTGAATATACAACCCACGCATGCTGTCCTTTCCTTCCAACCGATTGCTGGTAGTCTCTGGTGCCCAAACTACTGCTGGCTTTATAGTCTGAAGCAGCTACAGTCGTTTTAAAACGGATACAGTGAAGATGCAACTCCTGCAGGATGTGCTGTGGGACATGCTCAGGCTCCACACACCTTTCTTCACTGCAATTAGCGACTTCAGTGTCCCCCAGGCCCAGATGTTGGGCAGGTCTGCCAGCCTCTCCAGGAGACACGGAGGCATCCAAACGTCCTTCCACAGGGACAGGCTGCCACTGTCTGGGACTTCCACTGAGCCCTGTGCTCCCTCTGGCTACCTGCAGGCTACCCTGGGCTTCAGAAACAAACGGCTCCTTTCCAAATTCCTTCAGATTGCGGTGCAACTGTTTTTGACGCAGGTGCTTTACAAGCTACTAGACCCACAGCAGCATTGCTGGGTACAGAAAACAAATCCAACCCGCTGAAAACGTATCAGCATTTTGTAGAGAGCTGCCAAGCCCAGCTTCCCCTGGGCAAAGCCAAAAGGATATGAGAGCCAAGCAGGCAATGCCAACATGTAGCCTGTCCTAGGGAAGGATGCTGGTATAACATCCATTGCACTGATAGTCCTCGGCTGGAGTGGAAAAGGAGACCCTTTCCCTGATGTGCTTCGGTGAGAGGCAGGTACCACTGCTTGTTTAAGGCAGCAAGGAGACAGTACCCCTGAAAGATCTTTTCCACCTTAGAAATGGCACCACTCCGTTTTTTTTTTTTTTCCTAAAGCAAGTTGTAAACACTGGCCACAGATGCCCAGGACAACTCTGGAGATGTCTTAAAATCTTCCCTGATAGCCGTCTTTTTTCCATGAATCCAGGACGCTCCTGGAGATCTTGAGATGAAGGTCATGTTAGGGACAGGATTGAGACTGGGATGGAGAGCTGCAAAGTGCCTGCATTGCGTATGACACGGAGAATCATTGCTCCTGACATCTGGAGTGCTTTATCAGCTCGATATAGCAGCCACTTCAATAAAACATTTAGTAAAAATGAGACGTAAAGAGGTACTGAGTCAACAGGAGACGACGGTTTAGGACAGGAAGTGAAATTTTTGGGAGGAGGCTGGTGAGGCAATCATCTGACTGGCTGCGGTCCAGGGCGGTGCTAGCGCGAGAGCCACGGGGAGAGAGCACCGTGGTTGTATCATTACGGACCACAATAGCTTCAAAAATAGCCATGAACAAATATAGCAACAAAATGAACAGCAACAAAGCAACTCACAGGCATGTTCCCAAACAAAAGGCTGAGCTGTGTTTCCGGCACCCGTGAGTTATATCCCCCTTCTTAGGGAGGTCGTGTGGCTTTATCCAGCTGCGTTTTATCCAACGTTTGAACTTGCAGCTGGATGAAGTGGCATCAGCAGCTCTGGGAGTTGGCTTAGAGATGCTAAATTACTACAGAATAATGTAGCCATGCATATTACTTGAAGAGTAAGATCATTTTTAACTCATTTTTTAAATCTACTCATTCTTACCTTTGTTGAGAGCCACTGTGTTGTCCCTCCCATCCTTCCTGAAGCAAGTCAACTTTTGATTCCTGTCGCTTGTGGACCTGAAGTGATAGTTTCACTGCTCCAGCTATTTAAACAGACACCATCCAGCAGCTCCTTAGCCGATCTCTGACTCTGAAAGAAAAACCTGGACACACAGCAATAAGATGAGGACTCACCCATGCTGTCGAGGTCTGAAGCAAGCAAGAGAAATGAGTTTGGAAGGGGTGCACACGTAGGTAATAAGACCGTTTGGTCAGGAGCAGCTGTCCTGCTGCCTGCACTGCCTGGTCCCCAGTACTTGCCCGGCACCACAGGTTTCCCTCTCCTGATCCCATGTGCTGACCATATCTGCATCTTTAGTGAGGTTATTCAGAGGGTTCGCTCAGCCCAGTGCACTCAGTCTCTGTTTTGTTTGGTGTTTTGTTTGTTTTTTTTTTTTTTTCCCCCCCTCCAGAAATGGTTCAAGCAGCGCCTGGCAGAGTGGAGGAAGTCTGAAGGGCTGCCCTCAGAAAGCGGGTCTGTCAGGGACTAGAGGATGCTGCTCCAATCTCCACGCCTGCTGTAAATGATGGTGAAGCTCTACAAAGTGGGTTTCCTTGGGGTTCTTCTGTTGCAATAGATTCTGAGATACAAAGTAATACCCTGCTATTTAACGTGTTATTTAAAGTGTACATAACCAGGAAAAAAATATTATATATATACGTGTGTGTGTGTGTATGTGTGTGTACAGCTTCTGATAGCTGCATAACCTATCTAGTGATTACCATCCATCAACAGTGGCTGCACAGGACAAGGCAACCTCAAGCCCTTGTCCCAGGCTTGCAGAAAAGCTGCCATAAAAGGTTCAAACATAGAAAGGGGGAAAAAAAAATAAAATTGTCTTTTCCTTCTGATCCCCAGAGGCATAGTATGTGTGCTAGGTTCAGTGATATACAGATCATCTAGAGAGGAAGGCACCTGGAAAAAGAGATGGGTTGTTCAGGTGATCTTGGCTAGCTCAAGATGCCCGAGTCAGACCTGGAAACTAGCAAACGCGAGAGCCTATGCCATTCTCAGACTAAGCCAAGCCCCCTTGAATGCATTTCTCACATTTCTGTTAAAGGACACAAAAGGGAAAGAACTGGTCTTTTCTGGTTTTTGTCCAATGCATTAATAAAAAAAAAAAAAAAAAAAGTTTTTTGATGAGAGGAGCTGTGTTATGTCCTTGCTTGTGCTCCCTGCCCCCTCTGGAAGGGCAACACTTCTCCGAGGCAGCCTCGGTGGGCACCGTGGGTTTTCCCTGTTGCCACAGGGATAGCCCGCAGCCGTGGGTCCAGCCATGGCAGCCCACGCAGCCCCCAAGCCCTGAGGTGGCAGAGGCTGGTGGTGCTGGGGTTCCCCCGCAGGGTGGGGGGGCCAGACCCCAGCCTCCTTCCAGCCGTTCTCAAGCCTGAGGGATGCAGCCGCGCCAGGGCTCCTGAGCAAAGCCCAAACTCTCATCCATCCTGGCACAGGACAACGCACAGGCTAAGAAATAACCAGCACCGTTGCCCAGTGACCTTACCTTGCTCAAAAGGGTTCAAAAATCCTCTGCTTAGTGGATTACTGAATCAATTAGTGGATCTTCTGATTAATCCTCTTCTGGTTTGTGGTCACCTGCCTCTACTCCTTTGTAAGGAGAATCAGCTTAACACAGGGAAGATGAAGATACACTGGCACTGAAACTGCCACATGCTTGCATTTATGGCTTTTGTCCCTTGCTGGAGAGCACCTCTCTTGCCTCAGTATTTCCAGCCCATCACCAGTGGATGGGCTTCCAGTACAAAGCACACCAAACTCGTAGGAAACAGATAAAAGCAATCTCCTTGTGCCATGTTCCACACAGGCTGTGTTGTTGTTCCCCTGCAATCCAGCTGCCAAACTGACTCACCCTCAGACCTGACTGGAGCTCAGAGTTTGTTCTGCAGAGTCTGACACCAATATCTGTTTTCTTCTTAGTCTTTGCAATGTGCCTTCTCCAGTACACTGAGGGGAGCTCTGGTTTTTTTGAGTTAGGCTCCAAAAATCCTAATGCAGATCTCCATTATTTTGCCCAAGGTTACACAACTGAGTATCCGAACTGCACAGCAAAACGCTGGGTCTGCCTGTTCTCCAGGCATTTGAGAAAATGGGCCCCCAATCCAAGCCACCCCATCATTTCCAAAGTCTATACTAAAGATTTGCACCTTATCAAACCCAGCCCTGCATCTGGAATGTTGCAGCCTTTTGTGTTTCTACTTCTGTCACAAGCATAAAACTTTGAGCGTCACTAAGATCTCTAAAGTTTGGCAAAAATTTTGAAACCCAAGGTCAGGAGTTGTTTTGCATCAACCTACTACGTGCTGTCAGCTTTGGTTTGCCACACTTCCTTATGTGAAAGAACAGTTCCTGTGCTGGCTCCCTCCCAGCACATTACTTCTTCAACTAGTAGAGCAAAAAAAAATAAGAAGAGCGACAAACTCCAGACATAGCCCATCCAGGGGAGAGAGGCTTCCCACGTTAGGTCAAATTCTGCTCATTTCGCCTGATGACTATTTTGTTCTTAAGGAATGACCATTTTATTTAACTCCCCAGATGAGCCCAGTAAAAGTAGCTGCTTGGACGAAAGTGTCCCTGCTGGGTGCTGCCTCTGCGCTGTGTTCAAGTAGGTTTTCCAGCCACAGCACAGCCCAAAGCGGGCAGTGTTCCAAGGGGTGAGGGGGACAACTGGCACAAGCAGCAGGCTGCGTTTCTGAGGGAGCTCAGCGCTTAATCGGACGAGCCAGGTCTTGGATCCGAGCCGAACAAGTTGCCTTCTTAGCAGTCTCCTTCACCGTGAAGGCGTCTGGGTTGAATCGAGCCGAGTTCACAGGAGGCCTGGGAGAACGAGGACAGAGCCGGTCAGTTCCGACTGGAATTCTCTCAAAGCTGCCCGCCAGCTGACACACCTCCCCGGAGCCCTGCCCTGCCCTGTCAGGCGAGGACAAAAGCAGTCATGCCTCTGCTGCTGTCACCAGGATGTTAGCGAGAGGGGATGCCCCATCCCGCACCGAAGCTGTCGCAGCCACTACAGCCAGGCATTCCCCCACCCTCCGTGAAACGTCCTGCCCAGCACCTCCCGCAGCCCGGGCTGAGGCCAGCTGCATCACGCTGGGCAACGGGAGTGTGCTACGCTGTGCCGTGTGTCAGCTGGTTGCTTTTTATAATTGCAAATAATAATTAAGAATTCCCAACCAGTAATTCCTACTGGAATTAGGAAGTTCCTGCTTATTCTCTTTTGATTCTCCTTCCACCTCAAAAATGATTTTTTAAGCCACAATCCACAGAGCATTAGGACATCCAGCCATATAAAATCCATGCGTTTTGGAAGAGCGGTGGCTTAACCACGCTGGTCAAACCCAAACCAACAAGGTGCCATGGCCTGCACAAAATGGGCTGACAGTTGATCATTTCCCCACGGCAGGGAAGCAGCACCTACCTTTGGCAAGGCTGAGCCAGTTCCACGAGCCTTGGTGTGGCCACCGCCTGCTTTGCAGCCTTGGTCACTGGCCACTCAGCATCCCGCAGGGGCACGTAGTCAGGGTGCAATCTTTTTGCCCTGGCCAGCTCCAGCGTCCGAGGGCTCGCAACTGCCTCCTGAGCCAACTTGGAAACCTGTGGAAGAACGGTGAGGAAGGTCCTTACAGGTGCTCCTTGGCATTCAAGGGTGGTCAGCCTGCAACTCAGTGTACCCAGGTTCACAGCCACTGACCACGCACAGATGGGACATAATCCTGTCCACAGCTGTGTCTGGCACCAGGGGAGCTGTGGAAGGAGAAATCACCGCCTGGCCAGTCCCACAGCCTGCCCTCCAGCCTCCTCTTACTCACAGCCCTTTGTCCGACCCATCCCTCAGCGCTGGAGATCCCGGCTAAACCTTGTCCCTCCCTCCCCATCCCCACAACTGCAGGCTAGGCACAGGTCCGCCCTTCTCTGGGGATGTCTGCTGGGAGTCAGTTCGTGCTCTGGACGGAGGATGAGCCCTGCTCTGCAGCCCAGGAGGCAGCTACATCTGCCTCACCGACAGCAGCACGTCCAGGGCTGCCATGCAGAGAGCCACCAGCCACCGAGCCCCCTGCCCGCCCCTCTGCCGCGCACGGTCCCGGGCGATGCCGCCTTACCGGCCGAATGACAGATTCAGGAAGGCTGAACTGATAGCAGCAGGTCACCTCCCTGGCCCGGGGCTCTGCGAGATGCTGTAACCTCGAGGATGCTCTGGCCAAGACCGCAGCGGTTTTAACCCGTGTTGGCACCTGCACGGGTTCAGAACGGGGGAGGGATGTGCAGGCACAGAGCTCGACGCAGCAGCCCACAGGGACGCACTCCCTCTCCAAAGGGACGAGCACCCAGCATCCTTCCTCTGCAGACACAGTCGCAAGAAGGAGCACTCTTACTTTTCCCAGCACCCGTTATTTTTCTTTCACCTGAACTGTAAGGTAATTTTGGCATTATTGGGATTTGTATGTCTTAGCCAATATTGTTCTTTTTTTCCCCAGCTGTCTCCCACTCATAGGCAGGAGAGGAATGCCTGTAATGAGAGCCTGTACAGCCAGGTAAAAGTGCAGAGAAATTTCTTCCAGAGTAATGTTTTTCACATTAATCTTCCTGCCTGGACCAACTCATTTCCCTGCTAAGGAGAGACACTCACATTTCAGGGTAAAAGTGCTGGTGCAGTTAACTGCATTCCTATAGCAAAAGTGATCCCTGCTCCAGCATGGGACTTCTTTCCCCTGTTCTTCACACAGTTACTGATGCCAAGGCCTGCTCCAGCACAGCCTCCCTTATTTCCCAACCCAGAGACTGCAGCCAGAAAACCTAGCCTTTGCCATGGAAATGACTGTAATCTGAGATTGCCCCAAGCCCTTTCACCCCTGCCAAAGCAATGACCCACCTAAAAGGAGCAAGTTCAGAAATATGTCTCTAAATTAGGCTTCTGATAAAACACCGTTAAAATACGTACTGCTTACAGGCTCGTGCCCCCTATATACACAGGAGCACAGCTGCCCAACTACAAACACGACTGTACTCCCCAGGAGCCAAACAGGCCATTCCCATCAGGTTTCTCTACTTTCCCAGGCTGCTTTATCAGGGGATGGAGCCCAGATGCCTCCCTTGGCTCTCCCACTGTTCTAGGCTGCTCCAGCCTGGCTGCTTTCTGTCCCTCAACAGGGAGATTTTCAAAGACAGCATCTCTCTCCAAAAAGGCAGTTTCTTTCCGTATCACAAACCCCAGCAGAGCCAGGCAGCTTCTCCCCTCCACAGCAAACACTGGGCACATCCAGGGGCAGGACACAGGGTGTGAAATTCGGGACAGTTTACTGCATCACCGTCCCCTCCAAATCTCATTCCAGCACCTCCTCACCTCTCTGGCCAGCCGGAACTCTGGGTGCAGCACCTTTGGCCGGGCAAGATCCAGGATCCGTGGGGAGGCCTTATAGTTCAGTGCAGCTGGTGACACAAGCCACTCAGGGGACTGGCGAGGTCTGGAAGCAGAGAGTCATGGCACCGCCTCTCACAGATATTCCCCCCACTGGTTACACCAGGCTGCAGACGGGATGTTTGAGCCTGGTGCTTGCTGCAGTAGAAGGCAGCTTTGTATTGTGGCCATTTCCAGTGTAGAACCCACTCATCCCATGAGAGAGTCCAGAGGTCCTAATCCCAGCAAAGTCCCTGCTCTGCATTTTGCCCTCTGTTATACCCATCCGCTGTTCCTGTATCTATTACTTTGAAGCTGCACCGATGCTACAAGACACAAGGGCCTACCTAGAGCACTCTAAAGGCTTTCTGGCCTCTCACCTTTGCTGCAGGTAGGCGGACGGGCATTTTTTAGGTTCAGACAACTTCAGCAGCCGATCAGAAGGAAAGCCAAAATCCACTAGCAGGGGACGCTCCCAGATCGTTGATTCCCGTCCACAGCTGTACAAGAAGAGGGGTCTTGAGGAAGAACAGAGAAGAGTTAGCAAAAGGAAACTGACAGAGAACATGATCTTGGAAGATGGTATCCCAAGTCTGGTTAAACATCCATGCCTGCTGCATGTACAAAAGTTGGCCCCAGTGCACGTGAGAAAGCCATGAACAAATGGGCATTTACACTCGAGATCTTCTGGCTTTAAAGGCAAATGCTGTTTGCGTATGTAGAGTCCTCTTTTAAGCACCCATGGTATATTGCTTTCAAAGTCTAGGCCTTTCCCTGGACCGTTTCAAGAAGCCACTCCACAACACAAACCTGGCAGCATCTCTGCTGTTCAGCGCTGTCAATTTAGAAACCTCTTTGTTGCAATGGCTTAATAGCACCTTGTGCGCTCGCAGCTCCTTTCATCTTGGTATCCCCCCAGGCTTGCCTAGTGCCTGCTCATCCAGCTCTCCATCAGCCACAACTGTTGGAAGATGCCTGTCATCACCAGGGAAGAGGTGAGCAGAAAGGCAGGAACGGCTGTCAGAGACACCGTTAGTCAGAGGCAGAAGCTCGCAGGAAGATGACAGCCCTTGAGCTGATGACAGTGGCAGAGGAGAGAAAACTACAGACGTGCGTGTCTTGACATCCCTCCAGGTAGAGGAAAGCTAGGAGTGCAACACAGTTCCATCTCCATTCTCATTGTTAGGACTTCTTACAGACTAGCAACCACCATCCTGTCTCCAAAAGAGCTCCGTCCCTTCCAACTGAGCTACGGATGAATTGCTTCAAGTAATGCAGCATCACCCAGTGCCACTGAAGTTTACATTTTTTACACAATTTTTCACTCCTATTCCCAAACATGGGCTAGTTTTTCACCACGTAGTGATAGCGGAGGTTTGACTCAAAGGCAAGAGACCTGGATTCCTTCCAGGCAGCAGGATGCTGCAAGATTTCTCTGTTCATAGCACTTCCTAACCTTTATTCTCAAGATTTAGGCCAGACTCCAAGAGGGTGGAGGAGATAATGACTTTTGTTCAGGTGCCTGGTTGGGCTGCTTCAGCCCCAGTACAGGCAGGGAACACTCTAGGCACAAGTGTACACTCTGTACGCACAAGTGTGACACATACATGTTTCTATCAAGGCACGCACGCGTGCACGATGCCTCTGCTTCCAAGCCTAAGCAGAGCTGTCTTTTTTTTTTTTTTTTTGTTGCAGCATTGGAACACGCTCCCATGTGTTCGGAGACTGAGATCAAGGCTGGCCCCTACGGTAGCTGATCTGAACCCAGAGCACTCATCAGACCAGCAACCACCACGTGTTGCAGAAGCTCTTCCCACAGCCACGAAGCAGGGTATGAGGAAATAAAAGGGCACTAAAAATTAACAGCCCCCCAGCTCCTCCTGATTTTAGAAGTCAAGCACTCAGGGTGACTTCTTCCCTGCTACGGATGGCCCCTGTTCCAAGCACCAGTACAGCCTGGTGGGTCTCAGTGGCATGGAGCTCCCTGCAGGGCAGCAGCAGCAAGAGAGGGGATGGCCTCTCCCCTTCCCCTGGGAGCCAGAACATCCCCCTGATTAGAGGGCACCCTCTGAGCTGCCTCCTCCCCCAGGATGTGCTGCCGCATCACTGACCTGCATTGGTGCTTGCCAAAATCTTTCTTGGGCTTGGCCATCGCCACTGTTCTTCGGGATGGTCGAGCTGTCAAAGCATCCCATGAGAGGGCCCAGATCGTCTCTTGGTTTCCCCACACAAGCCTAGCAAGAACAGCAAGGGCGTTAAATTCTAGAAACAATGCACAAGTGTGAAATGTGCTCGCTGGGGTTATCCTCCCCTGCCTAGGATGGGACACGCACACAGTCCCTATCGCTCCCCCCGGCTGTAAAGCGCCGCTGCCATCCCCTGAGCACTCACCTTCTCTGGCACTGAATTTCCTAACACTGTCCAGGTGGTTGTTGTCAACTCAAACAGAAAAGGGCCTTCAAGTAATGAGTCTGGTTGTACGGTTACCAGTGGATACGCAGAAAGGGTCGTTTCATTACATCTCTGAAACCCCTGGAGGAGTTTCATGATTGCATTTTTCTTGCCTCACCATTCATTACCACCTAACTATACCACAGGTATGACAGTAAAAATAATAATAATAATGTTACGGTCAGGGTGTGCCATGGAAAGTGGGTGAGGTTTTGCAGCACGTTAGTGGTTACTCTCCTGTGCCCAGGGCAAATTTGGAGTTGCTCATCCCCCACTGAGAGAGAGACCATGGTGGGAGAGGGTACCAGGGTATTCAGGGCAGGGAACAGCAGGGTGATGGGTCTGTGGAGCCTTTTTTGAGCACAGTGACACCCACCCAGGCAGAGGAGAAGAGACGTTATCAAGAGACTGTTGCCCCGGCTTGTCAAGACATAGCTTGATCGCATAATGCAGACAGCAGTTCTGTTCCTAAAGCTGGACTGTGTCCTCCAGGATACAGCAGCCTGCGGCCCCACTGAGGTCCAGCCTCCTTGCACCACAGCACCATCCCACCCGGCAACACCTCAGTGGGGCAGCAAAGACAACCCTTGGGTCAAGTCCAGTTTTTGGACCGAAAGCAAGAAAGAGCAAATCGAAGAGTCCCTCTCGATCTGGTTTTCTGGAGCCACTCGTGCTCTTGAGAGGAAAGCAGCAGCAAGACAAAGGTAAAGGGTCTGTACCGGCTGAAGCCCCCTCAGTCCCCAGCGCTCGAGCCAGGGCTGTCTGGGACCCCTACCTGGGGTCGCTTGCACAAGCTGCTTTCTTAGGTTCTGCAAGTTCTTGTATCCTGTCAAAACTGCAGAAAAAGACAAACGTGCCATTAAACATACAGTTAAACAAAGCATAACGAAGGTACTGCTGTACTCAAAGCCTCGGAACACGCTCTCGAACCCCCGTGCCTTTGCCTCCATCCTTTGTGAGGGTGTGTTTAAGGGATCTCTCTCTCCAAGTAACTTTCCATTCATTTAATGTGGTGAACTCATCAGCCCATGGATTTCTGTGCTCTCTCTTGGATTGCAGACACACAGATTTGCAATTTTCCCCTGATGGCAGGGTCCCTTTGGGACATGGCAGAGAGTGGGGGAAGGTACTTTTCTGGTTAATGATGTGCCACGCAACCCCAGCAGGTTGGAGATGGATGATCTCCCAGACTAAAGGAGCCCAGATGAACAGAAACACCAGTTATCAACAATCTTGTGGTTTACTAAAAGGCACCATGGAGACAGCACTGTTCCCACATGGCTTTAGGAGCACAGGTAAAGATATATTTTTTTATTTATTCTTTTCTTTCAGGCCATTTAGCACAGATGTTTTAGATGCTATAGAGACACGGGAATATACATGGTCTGTGCCCTAGGAGCAGCACTGAAAATGTTTTTACTGAATATTCATCAGACCAAAACCTTTCAGCAAGATCAGATATCGCTGTGGGGTCCTGCTGCTCAAGTGTCCCAGGCCTGAAACCCCAGTGGCTGGGAAGCATTTGTGCTTTGTGAGCCTGGGTACAAAGAGAAGGACGAGACGACGCCAGCGCCAGAAGCGCTCTGCAGAACTCGCTGGTGTCACAGACCAAGCCCAGACCACCCCCCCCCTCCCCGCTGCGGCTGCAGGTGCGGGCCCCCCCGCCGGCTGGGGAACCACCACGCGGCGAGGGCAGCTGTGGAAATACCCCCACCACGGAAAAGGCACGGCGGGTGAAAGCCTGGGGCATTGCTTCCCTGCTCAGTATCGCCCGGCAATAAAGGCAGCGTAGCCCTAGAGAGGAGCAGGGACACCGATAAGAGTTTGCTGACAGAAAACAGCCTGTGCTCTGGGGACACACCCGTGGTTCCTCTGACGGGGCCGATACCTCTGGTGAGGCTCCGAGCCCCAGCGAGCGCTTGCCAGCGAGCTCAGCACCACAGAGACCCTGGCAACGGCAGGCTGCTGTTGGAGCATCCTCGCCCCACGCTCCCCGCGAGATGCCTGCTGGTTCATCTCCCCGTCGCCACACCGCAGACACGGCTCCCACCGAGATCCCGCAGAGGGAACCGCCTGGGAGACTCTGTCCCCCCCGCCTCCTCTTCAAGACAGGACGCGATGTGGAAGGCAGCCGTCGCCTCAGGAGCCAAACCCCGGTTTCAGCTCTTCATTCCCGAGCGGCTCGCCAGAGGATTTTCCTTGCAAAAGGGCGAGGGATAACCGCGCGGAGGGGCCGCCCCCGCCACGGCCTCGCCGGGCCGCGGAGCTGGCACCGCCGCCGCCGGCAGCCCCCGCCAAACCTCACACCAAGCCCCCGCAGCCCCGGTGCCCCCACCGCCGGTTCCTGTATCTATTACTTTGAAGCTGCACCGATGCTACAAGACACAAGGGCCTACCTAGAGCACCCTAAAGGCTTTTGCTGCGCCAAAGCTCGCGTTGTCACCCGGCCAAGGGACCTCGGTCAGCGTACGTCCCAGCCGGGTCCCTCCACTCACCTGACAATCGTTAAGTTTGGGGGTTTCGTTTGTCCAATTGCAAAAAAAAAAAAAAAAGAAAAACTTCCTACTCTTTTTATCACAGCAAAAGCTCTGGACGGGCGCGTCCCCACACAGGACGCACCTGCAGCAGCTCTGCAACTTGAACAAGTTAAGCTCCCTCCCTCCCTGACAAGCGGACAGCCCTGGGGCAGCCTGTGCCATGTGGTCCCCCTCGTGCTTCCCGGCGGGGAAAACGGGACCTTGCTGCAGCCAGACACAGAAACACCTCCCCTCCGCTGCCTGAGCTCACACGGACTCATTGCTCAGAGGGACCAACTCCCTTGGAGATCAATTCCTTGTAAAGCAAAGGGTCACGGCTTCCATTTTGAAGGGGAAGGACATTGTTTGTCATGAGAAGCAGAGGGAGGGGGAAAACCGGGCGTGTTTATCACAGTGTCATCAATGCAGCACTCGGCGCAAATCCCCGACGGAACCCTCCCCAAGAGACGTGGGGGGCACCACCTGGACACCCAGCCAGGAGGCCGGGGCCGGGAGGGTTTCTTACCTGTTGAGTGAGCGCGCAGACAAGCGACGAGAAACTGCAAAGACAAGAAGAGGTGAACTTAAAAAACGTGGTGACAGCTGCAGCCTGGGCTGCCTGCTCTTCAGCGTGACATAATCCCGAAGCAGACGAAGTTTCTGCGTCTCCTTAGGGTACAATTGCTTGGTAGGTATTTGTAGTGTTTTTTCCCCCGGTACCTTCCCGGTGCAGCTGCCTAGTAACACGTTTGCACGTGAAGTGTTCCCCTCCAGCAGCCACTCCTCACTGGGGAGCGGGGTGGGGGGGATGCTGGCAGCCCCTGAGGCTGCAGGACAGAGCACCCCCAGCACCACATCCCCTCACCAGCATCCTCCTCCTGGGACGAGCACCGGCGGCCACTGCCAACCGGTGGGCTGGCACCCGGCTCAGTGTAGCCACCCCCTTACCGTGGCCTTCCATAACTCCAAGGGGACGTCTCCACAGCCTCAGGGGAGTAACGGCTGTATGAAATCGGGAGCCCCCCCCCCCCCCCCCCCCCCCCACCGCTGTGCGATCCCTTTGCCACGGTAACGGCCGCCACCCCGCCCCGGTCACCCCTCAGCCCGGTGCTCCCCCGGGACCCCGGCGGCCAGCCCGGGGCTGCCAGCGGGCACCCGGCCCTGGCACAGGGGTGAACAGCCCCCTTTCCAAGGCGGCTGTCCCAGAAAAGGCCCCTTGTTCGGGTAAACGATGGCCGGACCACCTGTTAGGGTAAAATATTCTGCTTTATGAGCCTGTTCCAAAGGACAAAATGGTAAAACCCTCATGCAGTAAACGCGGTTGCGAAGCAGGTCCTTTACAGAATGGCTCCCCGATCGCGCCCCTGGAGCGTGAGCATGAGGACACCAGGAGGGTGACGCTCCTCAGCAGCTCCTCTGCCTCACCTGCTGAGCCAACAGAAATCACTTTCGAAAAACAACAGGTTTTTCACCTGGAAAACTGCTTGCTTGAGGATAATCTGGGCTAAGCTGAAATAAACCACTCAGACTGATGGAGGAGTCTCCCACCTTTGCTGCCAATTTAACTTAAACGCTTCCAGTCGCTACCTTAAATTACACCGTTTTGTTTTTTCCCTGTAGGCAAAGAAACACTTAATGTCTTACTGCTTTCATTTTCTTGTTCTTACCCACTAAAGAAGCAGTAACCAACCCAATTTCCAGAGATTACGAATTTGCCACTCCCTTAAAAGCTGGCTCCAATACAGCAACAACAAAAGTTATCACTGTCAAAAATGCTAGTCGCAGCACTTTAAATTTCTGACACTGTCAAGAAGTGAGGTCTCATTTCTAACAGAACACCACTGTTAACAGGGTTCTGCAAGACCTGTGAAGTAAACACATTTCAACTTAAGCCTGAGACACCAGCCAGGTTAAATTCGCTGGATACAACCTTGTTCCACTGAAGCCAGTGCTTGACTCCCACCTGGCAAGAAGCCAGCTCAACCCGTCTAAGCTATATATTCCCTTAACTGCTGACCAAGAGACTAATTTTCCCCTATAAATACGCTAAAAAATAGACTACTTTTCAAATGTGTTTTCAAACCACTATAAATTAGATTTTCTTACCAACTAGACATCATTTTCAGAGGAATTCCACACCCACAAGGAAAAGATATCTGTACATTTCAGTTGCCACGTGGGAAACTGACCACACAGCAACACCTCGACCCCCTCAGCTCTAAATATCACTTTGCAGGAAAAGAGCTGTCACTGCATTTCCAAAAACAGCTGCGCTATCAGCTCTTTGGCATCCTTCATGCTGGAGGAGATCTCGGAGCCATCCTCTGCCACGTGGGTACCAATCAAGAACATCTTCCTCTCGTCCCCAATATCAGAGAGTGCCAGAGCATCGTGGATGTCGGTGATGCGACATGCACCTTCGAGGTCCTGATACACAAAAACAAAACAAGCCTGTTAGTTGCACGAGGTGGTGGCACCATTCCTGCTTTGAGCCACCCTCTTTGTCCAGGGAAGGGAAGGGTCTCAAAGGCTCCAGGGACACCATTCTTACGTACCTTCTACAAGATCAAGTTCCCATGCCCTAAAATGCTTGGGGGGGGGGGAAATGCTTATCCTTAACCTAACTTCTTCCCAAAGAAGTAAGGGTACAGTTCTGTTTCTAGTAATTCCAGTGTTTCTGGTAATAATGTAAGACTACCTATAGAAGGCAGATGAAAGTCTTGCTGGCCCAAGGCGCCAGGCGCCCAGCACGGAGTTACAAGAAGAGGGCAAACGTACAACAGTCACGCCCTGCGTAACTTCCCAGCCAGGAGCGTTTCTGACTCCAGTTCCTAGAGAATCAGTAACAGCATTTGTGTTTGAGGAAGCCAGAGCCTGAGCATTCAAGAGTAACACCAAGGACTACTAGTAACATGCCTAAATTGCTAGAGATTTAGAAGGTAACAACGTAGAGCAAACTGAGCACACAGACCTCATGAGAGAAAATCTGGGCTTAAAACCCCTGGGCTGTTCCATCATCTGATTGTACCACAGGCACAATTCTACTCCAGGTACAGCACCAGTCACTGACACTTTCACAAAGACCTTAGGAGAAAGCACTGCCTCGTGAGGAAGGCTGCTCTTTCAGCAGCAGCCTTAGGAGCAACAACTAATCCAAAGGCAAACAACGGCGCTTCACTTTTCAGCTGCTGCTAGGTAAAGCGGTACACCTAGACAGACATTCCGAACAGAAACCTAACTCCAGGTCTAACTGTGGTCTCCCTTGCAGCTCTCAACCCTTGCAAGTCTACAGCAGTTTCCACCATTATTTCCACCCACAGCTCTGACTGCACCATCTCCCAGCACAGGACCTGCACCCTGCAGGTCCAAAATTCAACCTCAGATTATTTTTTTCTGTGGTCAATGGGTGTCCCAGAAAGACCCCCAGCTCCCAGCCATGTGGCCTCCTTAAAGGCATGAAGCCTCCTTTGAAAGGCTTTGTTGCTGTTTTCAGAGCTGCTGCCAGCCCAAGCTCAGCTAGCAGCAGGGAACTCTTACCTGCTTGTTGGCCAGAACCACCACTGGCAGGGTGGAGTTGTTCTGGATCAGTTGATGAAGCAGCTGTTTCGCCACAGGCAGTCGGGCATGATCAGCCGAGTCCACGACGTAGATTAGCAACAGCACTTTGGGCAAGTACATCTTCCAGTATGAACGCAGAGATTCACTGCCCCCGACTGGAAGAGAAGAAGGCAGCACTGGACTCACCAAGCCATCCAAGCAGCACTGCTCCCAGAGGTGCAGACAGCAGGCCCTGGGCCAAAAACCCACGGTATTTGGGTTACCAAAAGCTCAAAGTATTTGGGGTACTGTATATGAGACTGGAAATAGTTTTATTTTCCTCCACCAAGTCCCATGCAGGCATATGTTCATGCTCTGGGGTCAAAAGAAAAAAAAATATCTTTCCATTGTAAGCTCTTATTTTGAGAGGATTCTGGGTTCAGTTTCTTTACGGTTGCTTTGTGCCTTGTTGGTTCTTGCTCTCAAGCAAGTAGGCAGAGTAGAAAGAAGCTCAGCATCCATAAACACCATGTGAGAATGCCCCCATATAACTTAACTCCACATGTCCATCTCATCTTAAGACAAAGCAGGCCTACAATTTCCAAAGAAGAAATTTAGCTCCGAGGTGGGGAGGGCTCTCATCAGATTGCATGTCACTAGAGACTAGTTCAAAACTCCCACAGCTTTCATACTGTCAATAACCAGAGATGCTTAGGAAGAGAGAAAGATCAAGCCCTAGCAGACTCTTTAGCCAATCCGTTGGAGAAATTTTTGCACAGGATAAATTTCTACGAGCTCTTCTCTGTTGGATACAGAGGAAAATTGTCCACCTTCAAAACCAGGCCTGGTAACAATTCCGTAGTGAAAAGTGAAATCATATGTAGCAAGTTGCTTAAGACTGTTGTCCCCACCAGGGGACAAAAAGAGTTTGGTAGTTTGCTGAGTTTAAGAGGAGCAGGAATAGCTAACAGTGTATTAAGTATTTCAGATGTGTTTCCAGCTCTCCAGGTCTTCTCCTAGATACACTGCAGAACCACTCACTCAAGAGTACTGAGGTGCTCAAAAGGCAAGGGTGAGTCTAACAAAAGTAGTTAAGTTTTCAAAGCAATACATTTGGGGTTCCCTATAGCTGTCTCCTGCCTTACACAGGAGCTCTCTTCAAACTGACCTGTTAGCCAGCCATCTTTTACTGCCCTCAGTGACTTTGCTCTATTTCAAAGCAATTTTGCTTTCACTTAAGTCAAAATGATTCAGTAGCTCCAAGAACGTAGAAAGGGAAGCAACATTTCCTTCTAGGGTGTGCCTGACCTTTCAAGAGCCCCAGCGTATCTGCAGGCAGAACTGCAAGGCTGTCGCTGTGGAAAGGAGCCGAAGGGCTGTGACCAACACGTCACACTTGGGACAGATGCCTCTGGTTCTGTACCGTGACGCTGTGGGGGCTCACCACCGTTCCCTTTGTTAAGTCTATTCATGCATAGCATAACCCAGGGGTCAGCAACCTCACAGAGAACATGATTTTTCTCAAACCAGTAGGAACTCAGCAGAAGCCAGGAGCTCCTATCCCTTGCAGAGCCAAGATACCACCCCCTTATCAGTATGATAGAACAAAGAAAACGATAGAACAGTTTTCTATCTGTCTAAGCCAGCAAAATAAAAACCCTGCTGTTGGCGGATCATCTTGTGGTATGTGATCACAGCGTAGGCTGCTAACCCCTGGACTAGGCAATGGTACAGACTGGGTAAGTACCCAGATCAGAGAGCCATGCACGGATTTACCTGGCTGAAACTGGCCCGAGACATTTCATTTCCCATGGGTCAGATGGCAGCCATCACATCTCAGTCACTACCAACCTGGACCAGGGAGGGAAGGACGACTCAGAAACAACAGGTTCTGCCACGGGGTGCACAGAGCCGGGCCCAGGCCGCCCCCGGATAGGAGCAGATACTGTGGGTTTCTCTGGGATCAGCTACACAAAGAACCTCCCCGCAGGAGACACAGGTATCTCACACCTAATAGGAGAGGGGCACAAGACTACAAGCATCTCTGGAGAGGCGATTTCCCTAAGACACCGCAGAGACTCCTGCGGTAATAAGACTGGGAATGAAACTCTGCCTTAGCGGCCTCATCCTCACCTCCCAGAGACTTACCTGGGAACAGCACAACTCCTTTAGGCCTGCTGACAAAGGCACAGAGGCTTCTACGGGCTAGCTGCCAACTGAGCCAGTCGAGCACTGGTACAGCACCACGCAGAACCAGCAGGAAGCAAAGGGCAGCTCCTGCCTCCACAAAACGCAGAAGGCAATGAGGCTAGGATGTCAGCCCCTCTGCTCCAGGGGCCCACCTGACTGTGGGGCCTCTACCTTCCCCATCAGCTAGCTGTCCCTAGAACAGCTGTGACACCCCAAAAGCATCACGGGGGACGCTCTCTGCAGGCACGGTCAATACCCAAAAATCAGTGCTAAGGGCAACACAGAAAGTTTAGTGAAAATGTACAGACATTCAAAAGCCATCAAAGACTGGAAAACACCACTTATGAGGCTTTTGAAAAAAAAGCGTACAAAGCTTTTCTCTTCCTCCTCTCTTCTTTCACCTTAGTGCTCATTCCTCTTCTGCTCTTACCCTTTGCCAGGTGCAAGGACTAAGGAGAAGCTGTGTAATATACAACAGCTACGGACCACAACACAGGGCTTACTGGGGACACCCCTGCTTTGGGCTGGTTTCACTCAATCAGGCTTGTTACCCTTCTCTATCTGGAAGCAGAACTCCCTGGAGGACAGGGCTGAACAAACACAGATCGCTTCTAACACCAGTGCATCGTCCCATTCAAGAAGCGGGGTGGGAAAACAGAAACCAGGAGAAAGTAATTACAACTTCATGTTATCAGAGCAGACACGAGCGAATACGGAGGTTTTTAAATACGGGCCTGGTGCCTAGGATATAGGATCTGAACTTATTTTATGTTCTGTACTAAACCAGGTTCACTCACTCTCCAGAAACTCCATCTGGGACTCTTCGGTGTTGACGCAGACGGCATTGAAGCCCACGGTGGGAGCCACGCCGCGCTTGACACGGTTGGTCGCCAGGGAGTGCAGAACGCTGCTCTTCCCGGCCCCATCCAGGCCCAGCACCAGGATCTGCCCGCTGCGTCCTTCACCCTGCGAGGCGAGGGGCAGCACGCTTAGCCCGGCAGCCGCGGCGTGTGCGGAGCTCGGTCGGGCTGGGGGGGAGGCGGAAAAAAAACCGGAGGCGTAACGAGGGGCCCGGAGGGAAACAGCAAACGCCACTTCACGGTGATGAGGGAGAAGACGCCGGTGGGGCTCCCGGCCGCAGCGCAGGCGAGGCGGTGGGAAGCCGCGGACACCCGCCGGCCCCGGCCCCGGCGCAGCTGCGGAGGGAAGCGGTGAGCGCGGCCCCGGCCCGCCCGCCCCAGGCCCCGCCGCGCTGCCGGGGCCCGGTCGCCCCGGGGCGGGCGGGGGCTGCGCAGCCCCGCGGAGGGGGCCCCAGGCGGCCCCCGCCGGCGCTCCCCGACCCGGCCCCGGTTACCTGATCGGCGGCGGCGGGCGGCGCGGCCCGGCTCCGCAGGCGGGCCCAGGCCCAGGCCCAGGCCCAGGCCGCCAGGGCCGCGCCGCCCGCCGCGGCCAGCGCCGCCCCCCACAGCGCGGCGGCCCGCGGGTGGGTGCCCATGGCCGAGCTCCGCGCCCGGACACACGCGCGCCGCCGGGGCACGGAGGGACGGACGGAGCTCCCCCTGCAGACCTGAACGCGCGGCTGCCTCCCCTGCGTGGAGCTGGGCTCTCGGCGCCGGGCCGAGAACTTACTGGTTTCAATAAAGGGAAGAGCGAGCCGCGGGGCAGGCGGCTTTCCCCACAGCGGCTGCCGCCACCGCCCTCTCCCCCCCCCCGACAACGGGATTCGCTCCCAGCTGGGCACCCAGGGACTGGGGTCAGGGCTCCGGCACTGCCCCGAGCCAGCGTTTCAGCCAGGTTTGTTCAGAGAAGCCGCCTGGAGAACACAGAGTTGCCTCGTCCTCGCTCCAGATCACCTCCCCTGAAACCGCGCGGCGCGGGGCAGGGCGCTCTCCCCTGCAGACACCAGCTGCTGGCTCAGGAGGCACAGCACCCGGGCAAGACACCTACCGCAGTCCCTTCCATCAGCAGCAAGTGACTCTGCCAGCCATGCGTAGAGCTCTGTTTTTCCTTCTCACTCACAGCACAACACACGTTCGGCCCCCTTTCCAGATGCTCCCAGTGCACAGTAAAGGTAATAAAGACTGGATTCCACTTAGCAGATTTTTACCCCGTGGGGACTCAGGGCAGGGCTTAAGCCACAGTAACATTTCCCTTGCCCACCACCTCTTCAGGCCTTAGCTTTAAATTCTTTTAGAGACAGAAGCCTTTACACCTTTTGGACTGACAACTCTCCCCAAGGTGCTATTTCTATCCAATGAAAGTCAGCGTATGGAAAATTTGCTACATTCAGACCAAACCAGAAGCTTAAAGAGATGCTTGAGGGATAGCTGTGGGGTGCTAGGAGAGCAGACGCATCCTCCACCTCTCCACCAGCTTCCACTTGAGAAGCGCAATGCCTCTTCAATGCAGCCCGCCATCACAACCAGCCACTCTGGTTTAGCTCACTCTTGTTTTCCCAAGCCCACCAGAGTAAGGCAGCTGGCTTGCAGAAAAGGGGAGACACCAAGTCAGCTGCTACATGCTTTGCCATGGTTTCTCCTAACAGCCTTGCTCTTCCCCTCCAAATTATCTTCTCCCGTATGTCGTTTTGCAAGACCCTCTGTGCCTGTGCTGTTTGGTGGTCAATGACTGACTGGGACAAAACACAGAAGACAGTGCTTGCACCACGCATAGTCAGAAACGTTGTCAGATAAACCTGTTCAAGGCCTTAACTAACACAGGCAGGCGCATAAATCTGTATTTCAAGAAGTTCTTGATTATTCCACATCTTTAAAACGTTTGGCGACGTGGACAGATTTCTTCTTAGGGGCTGCATTTGAATTTGATGGCAACACCCTAAGTCACAGTGGGGGCAAGCGTGAGGAAGGCAACTTGCTGAGCAGACACATCATGGTGCCTGTACCTGCCCATCTCCCCCCAGACTGCTGACAGGCAGGACAGAGATCCAGATGCCAGGAGCCTTTTGCCAACACTTGCTTTCGACCTTTATTCTGCAACCAGCATCACCTACTGAGGGAGGGAGGTTACCCATCCTGCTTTTTACCACCCTCCTTTAGACCCTTTCTTCTTCTTCTGTTGCTGTTTCTTCTTGGTGGCCGGGGCACCAGCGGGTTTTTGGTGCCTGGGAGGGATGACGTTACTTGTGGCCGATACAGCTGCGGCGCTGCCGGGCCGAGGGGAGGTAGGTGGGCTGCTGGCAGTCCTGCTGGCATCCCTGCAAGGAAGATTAGAGAAAGAGAGATACCACGTGGGTTCACAACCACCTGCAAGATGTGGCACTACTGCAGGAAGTCAACAGCGAAAAATAGCAGCGGCTCCTGAAGACGGCATTAGGTAGCATTGTGTATGGGAGGGCACTCAGGCAAGATCTTAAATAAGCTTCAACAGACACAGAAGAGCTGATGGAAGATGGGAACGTGTCTCAAAGGGCGGGCAGTCACCATCTAACTGATGTTCACTCGATTCTGTAAGTCCTCAACAAAGAAAGCAAGGCTGACTTTTGAACAGACGTATGACAGCTCATGCAACACATGAGAAGCCTTTCAGGCCCTCACACTTAGGCAATGCAAACCCAACATCCTTTCTCTCAACTACAAAGGCATCTTTGTGCCAGCTCTCCTTGCAAACACTGCTCAAGCCAACAATGCCACAAAAGGCTTTTCATGCGTCTGTTTTGAGACAGCTGTGTAAAGAGAAACTATCAGACAGCACTGGAATTTCCCTGTGTTGCTATCACTTTAGAAGGACTTCCTTCTCTCAGATGCTAGTAAGTCACCATCTTGCTGTCGGGCCTCATTCATAATGGTAAACCCTGATTCCAGCTCAAACAGAAGGAAGCTCGGTGTTTTCCCAAATCACGGCTAATAGTTCTCCAGCCACCAAAAGACCTGAAAGCAAATAGCTCAAAAGCAAGCATGCAAAATTCATCTCATTGTCAAACCTAAGAAAAGCATGTTAAAAGTCTGGGAATTTTATTTGCACCTTGGCACCTTCAAGCATGCCTATCATCATTTTAGTTTTCAGTGACTTATAGGGATCTTTGGGAAGAGCAGCTGGTAGAAAGTTCAAGTGGCAAAGTACAGTTTCACTTGTGCTACCCACGGATAGTGTCGTGACAGAACCACAGAAAAGGAGCATAAACGCAGCCCTCTCAGCTGCCCAGGAGCAATTCCCCACACCAAGCCCTGCAAAATTGGTACTTACAGTTCAGAGGAGCCAGCTGTGGTTGAACCCTGAGTCCCCTTGCCAACCTGATCCTTCTTCTTGCCCTTCTTCCGTCCACGGTAGTAGGAACGCTCTCGCATTGGGAGCCACCGCTCGGGGTCCGGAGTCACCTTGGGATCGTAGTTCTTAGGCAGCTTTCCTGCAGAACATCCAAGTGCCAGGAAATGAGACTGGGGTCAACGCACTAGAGAGGCATCACCAACGGATACGCGTGGGATGTCAGTGGCCTGGCAGCGCAAAGAGCCCAGCAACCCACATCATCCTATCAGGGTGTCGCTCTCACTTCTGCAGAAAAATGCCCCATCCAAACAAGCTATCATGAAGATCGGGGTCCACAGGGACCCAATCCCAGCAAAGAGCTCCAGCTCCTGGGGAGCTGAAGGCTAGCTATTTGAAGAAACAATCTGACAAGCTCTCTGGAGCTGTGCCATGTCAACAGCTAGGAAAGACAACTTACCCTTCTTTTTTTTCTTCTTCTTCTTCACATCCCCTTGTCTGAAAAGCAAGAGAAACAGTCGCTGTGACACAGCACAGTCACAGCAGACAAGTCAACTAAAATCTAGCTCTGGAAGAAGCTAAACCATTCCCATCTCTCTTAAAACTTGGTCTGCTGCTACCTGAAGCTCCTTGCAGTTAAACAACAGGCTCCCTTTCCACCAGCCTGCCTTCTACAGTAATGCCCCCCACCACACCAGGCGTGGCTATGTCACCCCAAAGAATGACTGCATCAGGGCTACAGCAGCCTGCTTTACCCTTGCTCCTTCTGCTGGTTGTCTCCCGTGAGCTTCCCAGCTTTCTTCCGAACATAGGTTGCTCCATGGGAGTTCTCCAGCGCGTCAACATCTACTTTCAGTGACATGGTGTCCGAGGAAGGCAAATGTTTGCTAAGACTGCAAGGGAAGAGTTCAGGCATGCAAACTGGCAAGTAAAATATGAACACCCAGGTTTGTCCAGAGAGCAACAGGCAACTTCAGCTTGAACAAATTTGGCCTGTTAGCAATGCAGACACCACAGGCCTATAGGGCAAGTTCCAGCTCTCTCACCAGCTCCCTACACAAACTGGGATGAGCTGCTTAATCGCCATGTGCCTCATTTTCCCCTTCTTTGATATAGGAACAGAAGCAGCAACTTCCTCTGAAAGCTGCTCAATGTGGCAAAAGCAGTGTGTGAACCTGGTATTTTGGGTCAGTGAACGCCTAGCCATATTTTATCGGGCACAGCCCTGCACTACTACCACAGGTTTAAGGTTCCAACAGAAAAGGTGGGGGAGCTTCTGGTTTCGGTTCCACCTAGTCTTAAGTTATCAATTCTCAGAGAGAAGGAAGCCAAAGACAAAAGGGTCCTGGGATCCCATAATAATCAAACCAAATAGGGAAATAATGTAGCTCCAGACAACTTGACCTGTACGTAGCTGTTCTGGAGATGTTCCTTGCCTTTCTTCAGGCAAAAGTAGGTCTGAATTCCCCACACAGCTGAAATCCAAGGGAGCAATGCCCAAACGCCTCTTTCTTTGCTTTGATGTCGCCATCAAAAGGATACACTTTAGCTTTTTCGGGGTCCACCAGGGAGTAGGCAGAGATGAGCTGTGCCAGGGTATGCACATCTTTTGGATTTTGCCTTTGTAGGGAAAAAAGAAAAAAGGACCAAGTTACCAAAGTACCCACTCATCCCAAAGATTGGAATCACCATGCAGTTCTTGCTGCTGCAGCATAGCTGCTATCTGGGGAGACAGGCATGTCAGTCTGTGGTCTCCTGTCGGGGGAGACAAAATGGAAATGCATGCTAGGCCTTGGAGCAGGCCCCTCAGCCTGAACACAAGTACTGAGAAGCTCCTGCTAAGTCGACCCTGGGAAAAGTAGAGTTAATGTTTCTTTTTGGTAGCTAGAAGAATGCTGTGTTTTGGTTTTAACATGGGGTTTGTTATGAGAAAAATGATGATAAGCACACTGATGTTTTCAGCTGCTGCTGGGAAAGAAGGAAGCAAGACTGCCAGGACTGCACGATTAGCGCGTAAACACCTGGTGTTGTTAAACTGGTAGGAAAGTACTGTAACTTGATGGAAAAGTACTGTAACTTTCGAAAGGTATATAAGCAGCCTGTGTGCTGAAATAAAGTGTCTCAGCATCACACAGCATCGGAGTCCGTAACTCAGTCGCCACAGTCTCCTCCAGAGCACATCACTGGTATGGACAAAGGGAGGTGCAGACATCTCCACAATATCATGAAGCAGGCAATGAAAGACAAAAATCCCTCATGTCCCAGTAGCAAAGACAAGTTAAGAGTCCCCCCCAAAAAATCCCATCAGGTCCATAATGAAAA